AAATGTGAATAAATCTTTTGTGTGGCGTACCATTGCTCGTTACCGTGATACTGGTAGCGTAGCCCGACGTCAAGGAAGTGGACGGAAGAAAACAGCAACATCAGCAGAAATGGTTCGAGATGTAAAGAAGCGACTTAATGGAAACCAGCATCGCAGTGGCCGAAAAACGGTTTGTGAGCTAAACATATCGCAATATTCTGTTCGGCAAATATTGAAAAATGAGTTATTGAAATGCCAAAAAGTACAAGAACTTACACAGCAACAGAAGGAAAATAGACTCAAAAGAGCTAAAGGGTTGCTTCGCTTGACCGAAAGTGGTGAACTGTCGAATTTGGTTTTCTCCGATGAGAAAACATTCGTTGTCCAGCAGTTTGTAAATAAACAAAATGATCGTGTTTACTCGCCAAAGAGGTCAGCTTCAAATATGCACCTTCTGTTGGCCACCAGAACTCAAGCGCCGGCTATGGTGATGGTGTGATCCGCCATAACAGTCGATGGTCGCTCTCCGCTTGTAGTAATCAACCGTGGCATCAGGATAAATGCCGAATATTATCGAGAAAATATTCTGGAGGGTGTATTACAGCCTTGAGCATGCAAACATTTTGGCCGCAGACCTTGGACATTCCAACAGGATTCATCACCATCGCACTCAGCACTCGCCACCCAAGAATGGTTACAAAATGAGGTTCCTCGCTTCATATCTAGCGCACAATGGCCTCCAAAATCTCCGGATATCAATCCGTTGGAATTCTGTGTCTGGAGTATTTTGGAAAGCAAGGATGGCACTGAAAAATACTAAAGTGTCGATCATCTCAAGCAAGCGCTTCGCCGGGGAAGGGTCAAAATACAGCAGAGCAAAATTCGGGCAGCGTGTGGCGGTTTCAATGGCCGTTTGAAGGCCATAATTCGTGTCAGAGGTGAAAAATTCGAAGAGATCTAAACTTTTTCTAAAATTTGATGATATTTCCGATATTTTTGCTTTCCCAGTATATGCGAGCATGGTTACATCTGAACCGATTTTCTCAAAAATAGATTAACATTCAGCTAGACTAAATTCGGTGAGATGTACCGAAAAACAGGTATTTTGGACTTATATTGGCCATTTGGTGCACAATTAACCCAAAATCGGTTGAAGATATATTGAACCTACATCTGAATCTGATCCGATTAACACCAATTTCAATAGGGTTCGTGCTTGGGTCAAATAAATATTGTTTGCAAAATTTCATATCAATCTGATAATAAATGCGACCTGTATTTTGTTCACAAGAATACATGGACGGACGAACGGACTGACATGAATAAAACGACTTAGAAAGTGATTATATGATGATCCTCAAAATTAACTATGGGTCTATCTCGCTTCCTTCTCCATGTTACAAACAAATACATAAAGACATAATACCCTTACCAGTACGTAATGTAGGGTGTAAAAATCTGTGTTAAATATGTAATTTATTTAGCGAACACTTTTATTTAAGTCGTAGGTGGTAAGAGCATCTTTAGACTATTAAATCCACTCGATTGTAAATGTCAATTGCATAGGGTATACGTCACGTAAATCGTATTCATAAATCGACGCAGAAAATACGAATATTAAGAGTTCATGCGAATGCGAAATACGGATATTGAGAATTCATTGTCTAGAGCGAGTTTTATTGTCTAGGCAGAATGAGCGCGTCAAATTTTAAACAACTAAGACTAATGTAGAATCAAGATTTTGCATTGACATTGTAAATAAATATCTTTATAAATAATTCAATTATTATTAAAACGACTACGGACAAAGCCTAAGAATTCAATCAAAAGTGTAACAACGGCTTTACAATTTAATAATCCATATCAATACCAAGTTTAAAGCATAGTTTTAGGATGGAGTTGCTGATCAATCAGCAACATTTGGCTCTATCCCGATACCGTTTCTTTCTTGATGTAAGATACAATTAGTAAAACAAAAACAACATCAAATGAGCTTCTACATGAACACTTTCAATGATAATTATGTAACAGTCTTTATATCTCTAACATGTACTGGGAAAGACGTTATCCCTATGGCCGTTACACTAATTGTTGATTGCGTGGCGTTAAAATTGCTTGTAACACCTCCCATATAACGGCATAGCACGTCCGTCCATTTGTAAAGCTTGAAGCCAAAAAAAAAGCTGTGGCTCCCGTAGGGCCATCATTAAGTATCAAGTAGCTGCTCTTGAATGGCTGGCTGGCTAGCTGACTGACTGGGTGTTTGACCACTTTGCTACTGGTGCTGGAATTGGTGATGATGCACCATTACCACAATCAAGGTTTGGTCTGTACAAGTTTTTGGCTTTTTGTTGCCAATTTTTTTGGCCAGGAATCTCTCCACAGTTTTGGCTCGTTGCGTATCTATAGATGTTAACAAAGGCGTGAAATTGCCAATTGCGTGTTTTTGTGTTGAACAAAAACGCTTTTTTTTTTTTTGTTGTTATAAATCTTCTTTTTTGTTGGCTTAGCTGTTAGCATTGAATGTATGTTGAGTTTAGTTATACATCATATTTACAGCTTAATTGATTTGTTTGCAGTAGATTTATTATTTTACATATACATGTTTAGGAAAATACGATAATTTTCGATTTGGTTTCGCTCAATTGAAATATTTTTTTTCTTTCGTATTTCAAGTATTGAGTCATTGAGAGAAGGCGAAAAAATTGAAATACATAAAAAAATATTTTAAGAATTCAATCTAGAAGCAAGTACATCAAATTTTCCAATCTCTATAAAATATCTGGTACCAAATCGGATGAAACGTATATATGTCAGTTATAACGATATCTGAACCAATTTTCATCCAAATTCGACGTACTTGTTTCTAGACTGAATTCCGTCGGATGTACCAAAATTCAGGACTTTAGGACTGATATTGGCCATTTGGTGCACAATTAACCTGAAATCGGTAGAAGATATATATGGGCTATATATTCGAATCAGAAACGATATTGATAAAATTAGGCAGAGATATTTCTGAGCTGTTTTAGATATCTGGTACCAAATATCATTCTTGTGGAGTGCATATCATACATAAGAGGGACTTAAAACCCCTAATCGGATGAAACATCTATGTAGAAGCTATATCTATAACTGAACCGATTTTCACCAAATTTGATGTACTTGCTTTTAGACTAAATTCGGTGGGGTATGCCAAAATTCAGGTCATTTGGTGCACAATAAACCCGAGTTCGGTTGAAGATATATATGGGAGTTATATCTAAATTTGAACCGATTCTCACCAATTTCAATGGGATTCGTCCTTGGTCCAAACAAATATTGTTTGGAGAATGTCATCTCAATCGGATAATGAATGCGACCTTCAGAAAATGATTCTATAAAGATCCTCAAAAGAGACTATGAGTCTATCTTGCTTCCTTCTCCATATTACAAACAAATGCACAAAGACATAATACCTTAACCACTATGTAGTGTAGGGTTTTGGGGAACTTAAAAAATCAAACAAATTCCGTAGAAAAATACCTCTCAAATGAAACCCGTTAAATGGGGGCATACGACGACGTGGTCCTTCTTAAGTATTACTTTGCCATAGGGTGTAGAAACAATTCCAAACTTCAAATACGCATACGCGATTTTTTGTCACAGGCTGTAGCACCAATTCTGAACTACAAATATGAAATTTGTTATATGGGGGCTATACGAAGACGTGGACCTACATAGTCAATTTTCAGTCATAAGCTGTAGTACCCATTACGAACTTCAAACATGAAATTTGAAATAGTTCCGGTAGATAATGTCGCTAAAATCATCAAAATACCGAATGTCGGGAGGTATCGTTATATGGGGGCTATATGAATACGTGCTCCTTCGTAAGTAAGTTTTTGTCATAGACTGTAGCACCGATTTCGAACTTTAATACGAAATTTGAAACAATTCCGGTACAAAATGTGGCTAAAATCGGCAAAATACCGAATATCGGGAGGTATCGTATACGTGGTCATGCATACGAAATTGTTTATCATAGGCTGTAGCACCAATTTCTAACTTCAAATAGGAAATTGTAAACAATTCCGGTGAATAATTCCGCTAAAATCATCAAAATGCCGAATATAATTTTTGCCATAGGCTGTAGCATTCCGATTCCTAACTTCAAATACGAAATTTGAAACAATACCGATACAAAATGTGGCTGAAATCATCATAATACCGAATATCGGGAGGTATCGTTATATGGGGGCTATACGAAGCCGTGGTCCTTTAGAAATAATCTTTTGTCACAGGTTGTAACAGCAATTCCGAACTTCAAATATGAAATTTGAAAGAATTCCGGTACAAAATATAGCTAAAATCATCGAAATACTGAATATAAGGAGGTACCGTTATATGAGGGCTGTACGAAGATGTGGACCGACACGGCCCATTTACGAACTTAACCTGCCTTCTCGCAAAATACACATGTGTGCACAATTTTAGCCTCCTTTTTCAATTCAATTTTAGCCTTCTATCTCACTTCGTTCCAAAGATAGCGTGATTACAACAGACAGACAGGCAGAGCGATAGACAGACGTACATCGCTATATCGACTTAGAATTTCGTGCTGATCAAGAATATTTGTACTTTCTTGGGTCTGACATGAATATTTCGAGGAGTTACAAACGGAGTGAACAAATTAATATACAAGGTATGGTGAAGGGTATTATAAGCCATGCTTAAGGTCCTCCACAAATGTATTCCATATTTTTCATCCTTCCTGCCATTGGTATGTGCAAAGACTTGTATTAATCCCTTACCAAGTGTTTGAATTCATAGTTATTTTTATGGACTTCCAACTGACCCCACCACCATCACCTGTTATTCATGGTTATAACCTATCAAGAACATTGTGAAATCAATTCGAAAACCTTTCACATATTTGTCGAACGTGACATTCACACACTCATTGTATGATTGCAGTTTCGTCCTTGTTAAGACACAGCTAATATTTGTTCTTTCATATTTCTCTCTGTTTATTATTACAGTGTCGTGTCTTACTCAATCTACGCACTTCACAGCCGTTTGAAGAAGTGCTGGAAGACTTGGGTCAAGTGCTGAAAATAAATGGAGCCAAGAAAATGTACACAGGCACAGGGCAAGAGGTAAGAGAATTGATGTGGCATTTTTCAATTAAAACTCAACGAAATTGTCTTTTCCTTCTTCTTGTTTTCAGGTACGCAGTTTTTCACAGCTACGCAATGAATTTGCTGATGTGGACACCTTTTATTTGGCCACTGGTACGGCGTTAATTGCCGGCTCGCCCATACGTCGGTCACGTTCGCGGCCATCGGTAATGGCTGCCGCTCCCATACTTCCAACCGAAGATCTTCCAAAGGTTCCTTTGCGCGGTGCTCGACCACGCAGTAAAAGTCGTCCACGTATTTTATACGCACCCGAAAGTGAAATTTTACGCACAAACGGTGAATACAGTATGATCGATATGATGAAAGAAGATCCTACCAAGGTGACTATTAGAGGTCTTAGACGCACATTCTATCCACCATTACATCATGCACCGGCCGATAATACACCACCAGATAAGAAGTTGCAGTTGCAATGGGTGTAAGTATGATTCTGTGAATGGCTGGAGAGCAAGAAATATTCAATGTCTGGGCCGATGTTACATAGATTTGGGTTTAGCCGACAAAATTTATTGTGAAGTTCATTTCACACATATTATGCGTAGATAAACAACAACGATGAGTTTTGCAGCTACGGCATAAACTTTAAAATAATTTGTATTTTCTGTGTCAACGCAATGCCATGTAACAATTGCCCAATCATTGATTTTTTTTATACCCCCACCATAGTATGGAGGGTATATTAAGTTTATCATTCGGTTTGTAACAACTCGAAATATACATTTTAGACCCCACATATATTCTTGATCAGCATAAAAATCTATGTCGATTTAACGATGTCCGTCCATCTGTCCGTCTGTGGAAATCACTCTAACTTCCGAACGAAAGGAAGTAGGTTAATAACATTTTACTCAAATGTTTATTATATCTGCGGGACATTTGGTAATGAAAATGGGTAAAGTAGGTCCACGTTTTGGTATATCCCCCATATGATGGTGCCTCCCTTTATTCGGTATTTTGGTGATTCAATCGACATTATTCCCCGAAAATGTTTCAAATTTGGTATTTGAAGTTCGTAATGGGTACTACAGCTTATGACAGAAAATTGCCTGTGCAAGTCCACGTCTTCATATAGCCCCCATATAACGGTACCCCCCCGATATTCGGTATTTTGATGATTTTAGCAACATTATTCACCGGAAATGTTTCAAATTTGGTATTTGAAGTTCGAATGGGTACTGCAGCTTATGACAGAAAATTGCCTGTGCAAGTCCACGTCTTTATATAGCCCCCATATAACGGTACCCCCCTCATATTCGCTATTTTTGATGATTTTAGCGACATTATTCATCGGAATTGTTTCAAATTTGGTGTTTGAAGTTGGTAATGGGCACGACAGCCTTTGACAGAAAATTTTTTGTGCAGGGCTACGCTTTATAACCCCCATGGTACCTCCCTATATTCGGAATTTTGATGATTTTATCTACATTATTCACCGAATTTTTTTATTCAAGTTTCGCATTTGAATATTGTAAAGGTTAATGACAAAAGTTGCCTATGCAGGTCCACGTCATCGTATAGACCCTAATATAATGGCTACATTCGGTATGTTAAAGATTTTAACAGAACGAATTTTATTTTATTTTTTTTTTTTTTTTTTTTGAAAATTGCCAAAATCGTTCAAAATGTTGGAGCGTATTCAAAGATCTGCCCGGCCGAACTTACAGCTTTTTTACTTGTTTATGCTTTAAAAAACAAACGTTGATTGCGACTGATTAACATGCCACAACAAGCTTTTAAAGTAGCCTGGTCATACATCAATTTGTAAAGTTGTTTTCGTAGTTAACCCATTTTTTGCTCCCTAGATGAATGTTATCTTAGTAATATTTAAATGCCGTGTATGGCTAGTCAGCTTTAAAAGTCTGAAGGCAGTAAAATTCTTCGACATCATATTCATCGAAAAATCGTTATTTCCTTATTTTAGCCATGGTTATCGCGGCATTGATGCCAGACGCAATCTTTGGGTCTTGCCATCTGGCGAACTTTTATACTATGTTGCTGCAGTTGCCGTATTATTGGATCGTGAAGAAGATGCTCAGCGTCATTACACCGGACATACAGAGGATATTATGTGGTAAGTATTAGCAAAGACATATACAACCGTTCTTATATTATGTTCCTTTACAGTCCAATTTTGTTATCCCTTACTTTAGGAAAAGTGAAGGATATAGTTCACATTATCGGGTTCTTATTATTACATCTTTACTTTAAAATATATGCGTTTTTTACAGAGATATGGCAAGCTTTTTGTAAAAGTAACTGAAAGTTACTGCATTTTTTCACAAAGACATATTCATTGTAGTTTAAAAATAATAAAAAAAATGAATTTGTAATTAATTTCGTGAAATAAATTTATAATTCTGTTCTTTAATATGCGAGGACAGTTCGAAAACTTCTTAGCCTAGCACAAAAAGCGCGGTATAAACAGAAAAAAGTTAAGTGTTTTGGAAATTTCCATCTCTGTTATGGACATATGTTAAATTTTGTTTCGATCTGGCAACTCCTTCTCATAGAAACAGGTGTACAAAAATTACGCATCCGCAATTTTTATACCCTACACCACATAGTGGTAAGGGTATTATGTCTTTGTGCATTTGTTTGTAACAGACAAAAGGAAACGAGATAGACTCATAGTTCCGTTTGATGATCTGCATAGAATCACTTTCTGAGTTGTTTTATGAATGTCAGTCCGCTGTCCGTCCGTCCGTCCGTCTGTCCATGTATTCTTGTGAACAAAATGCAGGTCGCATTTATTATCCGATTGAGATGAAATTTTCCAAACATCATTTGTTTGGCCCAAGGGCGAACCCTATTGAAATTGAAGATAATCGGTCAAAATTTAGATGTAGCTCCCATATATATCTTCGTCCGATTTGCCTTTTATTGTGCACCAAACGTGTAATATCAGCCCGAGTAGTATGGAATTTTGCACATACAATCAAATTAGGCCTGAAAATAAGTATGCCAAATTTGATCGAAATCGATTCAGATATAGGTATAGCTCCCATATATATTTTTCATCCGATTTGTTATTTTTTCTTCCACAGCCGTAATATGCACTCTGTAACAACAATATTTGGAGAAATATATCAAATACAGCTCAGGTATACATTTGCTAAATTGTATCGAGATCGGTTCAGATGTGGATATTGCTCCCATATATAACTTCGTCCGATTTATCTTTTATTGTGCACCAAACGTCTAATATTTGTCCAAATGGGATGAAATTTGGCACAAGCGACCGAATTGAGTCTAGAAGGTAGTATGCCAAATTTGGTGATCGGTTCAGATATAGCTATAGCTCCCATATGTATTATTCATCCGATTTGTTGTATTTGTTACCCACAGCTGTAATATGCAATCTGTAACAACAATATTTTGGGAAATATATCAAATACAGCTCAGAAATATCTTTGCCAAATTTTATCGAGATCGGTTCCGATTTGGATATAGTTCCTATATATATTTTTATCCGATTTCAAATTAATTGTGCACCAAATGGGCAACACAAGTCCGAATTTAAAAGATACAAATGCTTTGGCATATTTAGTGTTTTGAACTTTAAATTATAATTATATTCATAGCGTGTATGATTGAATTCTCCCATAACAACTTTTAATTGTTATGTGGAGCTCAACTAAATTAGCAAAGTGGTGTAGGGTATCATAAAATCGGCCCCGCCCAACTTTAGGACTTTCTTTGCTGGTATATAATGGAATAATTAGAAATGCGTGCTGTCATTAAATATTTACATAAAAAAGGTTTATCGGGACAAGAAATTCATACTCGTAATGATATGGTGAATGTGTTAGGGGAAAGTGTTCGTTCACATGCATTTTAGTCCACGTAGTGGACGTCCAAAAACAGCAACAAGAACAGAAATTGTAGCCAAAGTGCATGATATGGTATTAAATGATCGACGAATAAAAGTGCGTGAAATTTCTAATATCATGGGCGCCTCAAACGATCGACTCCATTTAATTTAGCATGAAGAACTACAGATGAGAAGTTTCTGCAAGATGGTGCCGCATTTGTTAACCGTCGATCAAAAACGCATAAGAATGAACATTTCTCAAGCTTGTTTGGATTTGGTTTTAAGCGAAATAAAATAGATTTTAAGAGTCGTTCCAGGACTGATACCCTCCACCATGCATAGTATGGAGGGTATATTAAGTTCGTCATTCCGTTTGTAACTCATCGAAATAATGATTTTAGACCCAACAAAGTATATATATTCTTGATCAGCGTAAAATTCTAAGACGATTTAGCCATGTCCGTCCGTCTGTCCGTCTGTTGTAATCACGCTACAGTCAAAACGAATTAAAATAGAAAGCTAAAATTTTGCACAGATCCCTCTTTTGTCTGCAGGTCAATTTTGAAGATGGGCTATATCGGTCCACTATTTCATATAGCCCCTATACACCACGAAATTCGGTATTTTGTTGATTTTAGCCACATATTCTATTGGAATAGCCTGAAAAACCACGCGAGGAGTTCTATGTGAGCACTTTTCTCCCTGAAAGAGTAGAAAGAGTCCATGATATCGTATATGCCCCATATAACGGTACCTCCGATATTCGGTATTTTGATGATTTTAGCCACATTTTCCAATGGAATAGTCTAAAAATCCACGCGAGGAGTTCTCTGTGAGTACTTTACTCCCTGAAAGAGAATTGTCTATATAGGTCCACGATATCGTATAGCCCCCATATAACGGTACCATCCGATATTCGGTATTTTGATGATTTTAGTTACATTTTCCAATGGAATGGTCTGAAAATACACACAAGGAGTTTCTTGTGAGTACTTTATCCCTTGATGGAAATTATTTATATAGGTCCACGATTTCGTATAGCCCCCATATAACCGTACCCCCGATATTCGGAATTTTGATGATTTTAGCCATTTTCCAATGGAATTATCTGAAAATCCACACAAGGAGTTCCTCGTGAGTACTTTATCTCTTGAAAGAGAATTATTTATATAGGCCCACGATATCGAATAGCCCCCATATAACGTTACCCCCCGATATTCGGTATTTTGATGATTTTAGCCACATTTTCCAATGGAATGGTCTGAAAATCCACACAAGGGGTTCCTCGTGAGTACTTTACCCCCAGACATAGATTTGTCTATATAGGTCCACAATATCGTATATCACCCCATATATCGGCACCTTTCGATATTAGGTATTTTAAAGATTTTAAAAGAATTTTTAATGGATTTTATTTTTTTGAAAATTTTCTGAATCGTTCCAAATGGTGGAGGGTATTCAAAGTTCGGCCCGGCCGAACTTACTGCTTTTTTACTTGTTTCTACCTTACACCAGGTAGTTTAACATGGAGAAAGAAGCGAGATAGACCCATAGTTACTTTTGAGGATCTTCATAGAATTCATTTCTGAGCCGATTTATGCATGTCAGTCCGTCTGTCCATATATTTTTGTTAACAAAATGCTGGACGTATTTATTAGAGAATCAGTTCAAATTAATGTATAGCTGTATATATCTTTTACGGATTTTGGGTTAATTGGACACCAGATATCAGATACAGCCCAAAAATACCTCTGTCAAATTTTTTTCGAACTTCCCTACACAGGGTGAGATGAAAAAACTGTAGCCAACATCAGACTGCTGTAATTTCTAAGCCACTCTACCGACAGCTGCTAATACCATTCCAGTGACAGCTCATTATATTGTTTACAAGTGTACAAAAGCATTTTGGTGAGAATTTTTGAGAAAATAGTTATTCGTGATGGAATTCAAGCGTGATAGTGAGATTTTTTATATTTGGTTACAAGCCAACGCATTTAAATGTGAATAAATCTTTTGTGTCTCGTACCATCGCTCGTTACCGTGATATTGGTAGCGTAGCCCGTCGTCAAAGAAGTGGACGGAAAAAAAACAGCAACATCAGCAGAAATGGTTCGAAAAGTAAAGAAGCGACTTGATCGAAACCCGCGTCGCAGTGGCCGAAAAATGGCTCGTGAGCTGAACATATCACAATATTCCATTCGGCAAATATTGAAAAATGAGCTCGGGGTAAAGTCATTGAAATTCCAAAATGGGCAAGAAGTTACACCGCAACAAAAAGAAAATAGACTCAAAAGAGCTAAAGAGTTGATTCGCTTGGCCGAAAGTGGTGAACTGTTGAATTTGGGTTTCTCCGATGAAAAAAAAAAACATTAGTTGTCCAACAGTTTGTAAACAAACAAAATGATCGTGTTTATTTGCCAAAGAGGTCAGCTGAAAATGTGCACCTTCAGTCGGCCACCAGAACTCAAGCGCCGGCCATGGTGATGGTGTAGTCATAACAGCCGATGGTCGCTCCCCCCTCGTATTAATCGACCGTGGCATCAGAATAAATGCCGAATATTATCGCCAAAATATTCAAGGCCGCAGACCTTGGACATTCCAACAGGACTCAGCACCATCGCACTCAGCCCGCGCCACCCAAGAATGGTTACAAAATGAGGCTCCTAGCTTCCTTTCCAGAGCACAATGACCACCAAAATCTGCGGATACCAATCCGTTGGACTATTATGTGTGGAGTATTTTGGAAAGCAAGGTTGGCACTAAAAAATACCAAAGTGTCGATCACCTCAAGCAAGCGCTTCGCCGGGAATGGGCCAAAATACTGCAAAGCAACATTCGAGCAGCGTTTGACGGTTTCATTGGCCATTTGAAGGCCATAATTCGTGCCAAAGGTGACCAATTCGAACAAATCTAAACTTATTCTAAAATTTGGTGCTACTTCCGATATTTTCTGCTTTCATTCAATAAAATTAAAAAAATGTAAAATTATGGCGTTGGATTTTGTTGCAGTTGTTTATCTCACCCTGTATTTTTTGTGAACAAAATGCAGGTCTCATTTATTATCCGATTGATATGACATTTTCCAAAAAATCTTAATCTGAGAATCGTTTCAGATTAAGGTATATATATATATATAGCTCCAATATATAATTTCAACCGATTTCGGGTTAACTGTGCACCAAATGGCCAATATCAATCCCAATGACTTGAATTTTGGCAAATCCGACCGAATTCAGTCTAGAAGCAAGTAATTAAATTCAAAATCGGTTCAGATATAGCTCCCATATTTATGTTTCATCCGATTTGATGTTTAAGTGCCTTACATCCGTAACATGCAGTCGACAACAATGATATTTGGTACCAGATATCTTGTAGAGCTCGGAAATTACTTTACTAAAATTTATCGAAATCGACTAACATTTGGATATGCTCCCATATATATATATATAGCCTTAATACGATTTCAGGTTTATTGTGCAAATCATGGCAAATATTAGCCCAAATGGAGTGAATTTCGGGACGTTCGTTTCCATTTTGTGGAACTTGGCTCCGATTTATATTTTTTAATATAATCCTTCTCGAAGTGATATAATGCACTCTATAGCAATGTTATTTGGTATAAAAGATTAAAATGTCTCCGTCAAATTTAGTGAAAATCGAGTCAGTGCGCCCGCTCGCGACGTGTTCTTCAGATGTCTGATGTCAACATATTGCATTATTGGGCGCCACAATAAGTAAAACAACGGATTTACTATTTTATGCGATTTTGCAAATTGCTAGGTTTACTCCTAGTAATTTCAGTACCTAAAATATTAAATAACATATGATCCAAAAACATCTCACTTTTTTTAATTTTCCAGCATGGATGTCCATCCTTCACGAGAACTTGTCGCATCTGGTCAAAAAGCTGGTCGCGATCGCAAATCTCAGGCACATGTCCGCATATGGAGCACTGAATCTTTGCAGACGTTATATGTTTTTGGTATGGGAGAATTGGATACGGGTGTCACAGCGGTGGCCTTCTCACAATTGGTAAGTACAAATGTTTACAATTTTTTGACGTGAGAGATGCAGATTTTATAATATCTTCACTTCGACGATTGACCTAATTTCTGAACAATATTGAGCTAAGCCTAAAAAGTAAATATCTAGTTTTTTAATTATAATTATTTGTTTATTATAGAATGGTGGCAGCTACATTTTGGCTGTGGATAGCGGGCGTGAAAGTATACTCTCTGTGTGGCAATGGCAGTGGGGACATTTGTTGGGTAAAGTTGCGGTAAGTTCCCATTAAATCATTTACATTCCATGCTTTCTCTACAAAATCGCTATTCTAGACTCTGCAAGAAGGATTGTCTGGAGCCGCTTTCCATCCTCTGGATGATAATTTAATTATAACACATGGCCGGGGTCATTTGGCTTTTTGGCATCGTCGCAAAGATGGCTTTTTCGAACGAACAGATATTGTTAAGCAACCATCACGTTCACATGTCACCAGCGTTCAATTTGAACCGGATGGCGATGTTATAACTGCTGATTCGGATGGTTTTATTACTATTTACTCGGTGGACTCGGATGGTGCATATTTTGTGCGCACCGAATTTGAGGCTCACACGAAGGGAATTGGATGCCTTATTATGCTGGGCGAGGGCACGCTATTGTCAGGCGGTGAGAAGGATCGTAAAATAGCAGCTTGGGACTCACTGCAAAACTATAAGAAAATCGCTGATACCAAGGTAAGCAGGAGGGAGGATTTTGGAAAGTCAGTTTTATACTCTATTAATTATTTTATTGTTAGCTTCCCGAATCGGCGGGTGGTGTACGCACCATATATCCACAACGTCCAGGACGTAATGATGGCAATATCTATGTGGGTACCACACGCAACAACATTCTCGAGGGCTCGTTACAGCGTCGTTTCACACAAGTTGTTTTTGGCCATGGCCGCCAATTGTGGGGCTTGGCCGCCCATCCTGAAGATGATCTGTTTGCCACGGCGGGTCATGACAAACACATTGCTTTGTGGCGTAAAAGTAAACTTATTTGGACCATACAAACGGGCTATGAATGTGTATCCCTTGCATTCCATCCGTTTGGCACCGCCCTGGCTGCTGGCAGCACTGAGGGCCATCTGTTGGTAATTAATTGTGAAAATGGAGCGGTCATGTTGACACTGAGAGTGTGTGGCTCGCCCATTAATTGTGTGTCATTTAATCAAGGTGAGTTAAAATGGCGCCCAATGTGGGGTTTGGGTAATAACTTTGCTTTTTGTTTGTTTTTAAGTGGGCGATATGATTGCTATGGGTTCCCAAAATGGTAGCATTTATTTATTCCGCGTCTCCAGAGATGGTTTCTCCTATAAGAAAGTGAATAAGATCCGTGGTTCCCAACCACTGACCCATTTGGATTGGAGTATGGATGGTAATTTTGTGCAAACAGTCACAATTGATTTTGATTTATTGTTCTGGGATGCCAAATCGCTGAGTCCCGAACGTAGTCCCATTGCCATGAAGGATGTCAAATGGTTGACAAGTAATTGCACGGTTGGTTTTATGGTGGCGGGCATGTGGAGTAATCGCTACTATAGTAACAGTAATACAATTATATCTACCTGTACACGATCAGCTGCCCAGGATATGCTGGCATCGGGCGATGCAGATGGTTATATACGTTTGTTTAGGTATGTGTTGTATTTAATATCGATTTTGAAGCGTATATTAAGTTATTTATATTTTACAGATATCCCTGCATAAGCCCCAGAGCTGAGTTTCACGAAGCCAAGGTCTACTCCGGCATGGTGGCCTGTGTTCGCTTCCTGTTTGGCGACCAAACTTTGGTTACCGTGGGTGGTACTGATGCCTCGTTGATGGTTTGGGATTTGGTAGAGGAATAGCTGAAATGGCCACCGTGGCGTACAACTGCACAGTATGAGGCCCGCTACTCAGATTACTGGCGACGTCGCACCTCCAAACAATCCTCCACGGTGTTGGATAGCGATTCTTTGGAATACCAGTAATGGGAGTAGTAGTGCTGTTTAGGCATTATCCAAATCCTTCCTCCCACACTCATAGACAACACAGAAGAGATATAGACATTTTTTGCATTTTGATTTGGTCAAATTTTGATGGCTTTTTACAAAAGTAGACGAAAAAATTAAAGATTATTAAAATTAGATAAAAAACAAAATGTTTTCCAAAAAATACAACTTCCAAAAGGCAATAGGAATCAGTAAACGAATCGACTTCCCCGAAGAACTTTTTTTCTGTTATTTTGGTCTTCCCTAAATTTGTTATGAAAAGTATTTTCTTATTTCCCAAATCTATCCTATATCTACTCTCTGTCATTGTTTCCTTCTATCCCCCAACTCCCGCCTCTAGTTCCTTTCTCCCAGCCCCCTACTCTACAGACTATAAGCCACTGGTGGACTTTATCTTATCTTTGACTAATACCTACAGATAACTCAGCCATTTTTTATACATTTCATATTTCATTTGTTCCGGTTTTTGGACTATATACTTTTGAATCCCTCCTCCATCATATAAAAAGAAAGGATTATCCTCTCTACAAATTGTCGTCCATTTTAGAAAAGTAATAAATAAATACATTTTAGTAGTTTAGTGGAAATTGAAGAAGAACATAAAACTACACACCAAAGTGCACTTTGATTCATTGATACCAAACAAAAAACAAACAAAATGTTTAGAAAATAAACGAATTGAAATTATTATTTATTTTTAATATTAAGATTTTGAAAATATGCAAAAGAAAATGTTTAATAAATACAAAAAAAAATGTTGGCATTGAAAGAGTATATTATAAACAAAAAACATTATGATAATATAATAAAGTTACATAAAAAATAATTGTTGAAACTTTTGTAGTTTTATTTCAAAGTTCACTCAAAGTCGTTACAATTAAAAATAATAATAAATATATATTAAAACCAGCGATTGTATTCTTTTACAATTGTTTTCGAAATCGGCAATTATAGTCTGCATTAAGTTTTTAAATTTAATAAAAAATTGAATGTGGGTTAATTAATATTCCTTGAAATGACCCATAACATTTCTAATTTTAATTTTAACAACCAACATCGCCAACTGGAAACAGTTTTGAGACACTTTTCAATTGGCATTTACAAATGACAAAATGGTCGAAAAGTTGGATCTGGCAATGCTAGCCAATACACAAGCCGAGTGGTAACATTACTTATTTCTTTTTTCAACAGATGTCACTCAGTCTTTTGCGCGCCAAATTTGCTACAAAGACATATAAGTCGTGTCTGTTTACTTTTTCTGCAGGAATTGTCCAGAAACTTCTTTCTGCGAGAGTAAGGTAGTTTTATTCTTGTTTGCTACAAAACTGTGAAAAGTAAACAGACAAATTTGCAAGCAGATTTCCAATACAATACAATTTGTGTTTCTAAACAGAGCTTAATAATGCAGAAATTAAAAATGAACAAAAAACAATTAAAAAAGCTGTAAGTTCGGCCGGGCCGAACTTTGAATACCCTCCACCATTTGGTACAAATTTAACAATTTCCAAAAAAATAGAATCCGTTAAAAATTATGTTAAAATCATAAAAATACCGAATGTAGCCGTATATTACCGGGCACCGTTATATGCGGGCTATACGAAGATGTGGACCTGCACAGATAATTTTCTGTCATAGGCTTTAGTTTTCGAGTTTTGCCTTGTTAAGGCGAAGATCATATGTTTTATGATTTATGTGTTTGTTTTCTCTTTCGAGACGAGCTTAATGATCTGAAATTTGCAGTGAAAAGGAAAGCCAGATAGACACTATCACACACTCACCACTATGCGACGCGTTTCGCCGTTGGTTAAGCGGCTCATCAGGCATATTTGGTGTGGATGATGGCTTACAAGGGCCGTTCTCTGGAAAGTAGTATATATTTCGAACATATTGCAAATTAGCATATGCGAATTATACACTAGAAACTCTCCAGGTTCGACTCAAGTTCTATTGGCAGATCTTTTTCACAGCAAAGTTCTTTTTTTTTTTTTTTTTTTTTTTTTTTTTTTTTTTTTTTGTTTTTGTAGTGATGGATTTTTTGTCCACAACAACTACATTGCTTCCAATGCATACACTTGTTTTAGTGCTGCTTTAGGAAGACGGGTTAATGGCTCTGAACGTAGAGACGGCAACTTCTAGTTGGCTGCACACCGAGGTCCGCGGTTCAAATCCCACAGCCAGGCTCGGCTGAATTTTTGAGTTTTGCCTTGTTAAGGCGAAGATCATATGTTTTATGATTTATGTGTTTGTTTTCTCTTTCGAGACGAGCTTAATGATCTGAAATTTGCAGTGAAAAGGAAAGCCAGATAGACACTATCACACACTCACAACTTCAAACGCCAAATTAAATAATGTCGCTAAAATCACCAAAATACCGAATATCTATATACGAAGGCGTAGACATACGAAGGCATAGACATACTTGGCCAATTTCAATACCAAAAGTCCTGCAGGCATAATACACATTTGAGTAAAATTTCATCAACCTACTTCGGACGAACGGACATTTCTAAATCGACATAGAATTTTATGCTGGTCAAGAATATATATACTTTGTGGGGTCTAAAATGTATATTTCGAGAGGTTACAAACGGAATGACAAACTTAATATACCCTCTATACTATGGTGGAGGGTATAAAAACAAAACAATTACACTTGCGATTTTCAATAATAAGATGTTTTTAAATTACTTGTCCAAATATAATTCACCGGAAGGAGAAAAAGATGAGTTGAAAGTGATTGCCGGAAGAAATTTTCCAGCAAGAATTGGCAAACTCTCACAGCCTGTTCCACGATCTCGAAAGAAAATTTGTGCGAACGAAGGCTACTCACTCACTTTCGTATAAGAATGCGTTCCACTAACTTTCGTTCTTTCTTTCGCATAGCCTTACGTGATTCAGTGTTGCTAAATATTATTTGGAAAAATTAATCGCGAAATAAGGCAAAAAAAAGCGCCAAATGTCTAATTTAAACGCGAAAAAGCAGCAGTGGCTCTGTCTCAACTGACAGTTCAGTTGTAAACAAACAAAATAAAATTTCTAGTGATTGTGTTCAAACTATTTGTGTTCTTAAAAAATAAAAAAAATGAATATTTCTGTAGCCCTATTTTTTATGGATGATGAGGAGGAGGTTCAAATTGTGCCACGGAGGCATTTAAGAGATGCTTCGAATTTATTTGAAGTACCTAACAATCAAGGGATTGCCTGCTGCTTCCAAAAATTGGCACTCCTCTGGCGAACTTAGGATTCTCCTCCATATACTCAACTAGTGCCCGCAGCTGTGTAGTTTTTTCGTGCTGGAATTGAGAAAATAAAAAAATATATATTTGTTGTTCACAGATTAAATTGCATTTATTATTTTTACTTACATTTTTCTTTCCATTTTCAATCAAGGAATGTTTATGTTAAAACAATTTTCCTTAATTTTTATCATTCGACAGCAAACACACAAGTGACTGATTTTGACATTTGTGTTCGCATGCGTACGAAAGAAAAAAGATAGTGGAACGCAAAATTACACTGAAACGCTTACGTTTTCGTTCGCTTTGATTTTCGTGCAAATTTTTGTTCTGATGGATTTTAGTGGAACGGAAATCAGCTGTTTGTCGTGTAAAAGTTTTGCGAACGTGTTCTTTCGATATCGTGGAACAGGCTGTCAGTGAAAGAGCTGTCAAAATTATTCTCTCAAATCGCTCTCTTTTGCAGAACTTTTGTGTTAACAGAATTCCAAAACAATTTTCAAAAATTGTTACAAATTGTGGGTTAACCAGACGCAGCTATAATAAGGAAATAGATCAACAAGTAAAAAAAGCGGATAAATTCGGCTGTGCAGAACTCCATTTGGAAGAAACTTGTAAGAATTCAAAAAAATCCTCTATAATTATTTAAATACCGAATATCGAGTGGCGCAGTTTTATGGAGGCTATACGAAAACGTGGATCTTTATACCCTATGAGAGACGACGTTGGATATTGCAAGAGTTGGGTAGTTCCGAAACGAACTAGTTCAAATGAACTATTCCGCCAAAGGAACGATCGGAACTAGATCCAGATCTTTAGGTCATCTAGTTCCTCTTGTGCACATCGTTCTTTGTCGAGTGGCGCAGTTTTATGGAGGCTATACGAAAACGTGGATCTTTATACCCTATGAGAGACGACGGTGGGTATTGGAAGAGTTGGGTAGTTCCGAAACGAACTAGTTCAAATGAACTATTCCGCCAAAGGAACGATCGGAACTAGATCCAGATCTTCAGGTCATCTAGTTCCTTTTGGGCACATCGTTCCTTTGGTCTTTCTCTTTCGTTTTAAAGATCCCCTTTTTATACCCTCCACTATAGTATGGAGGTTATATAAAGTTTGTCATTCCGTTTATAACACATCAAAACATACATTTTAAACACCACAAGGTATATATATTATTGACTAGCATAAAATTCTGTGTCGATTTAGCGATGTCCGTCTATCCATCTGTCCTTCTGTAGAAATCACTCTAGATTCCGAACGTAATGAAGTAGGTTGATAAAATTTTACAAATGTTTTTATTTTACAAATGTTTATTATGTCTGCAGGACTTTTGGTATTGAAAATGTGCCATGTAGGTCCACGTTTTGGTATAGTCCCATATAAGGGTACCTCCCTATTTTTGGTATTTTGGTAATTTAAATGACATTATTCACCGGAAATATTTCAAATTTGGTATCTGAAGTTCGTAATGAATACTACAGCACAAGGCTGAAAATTGTCGGTGCAGGTCCACGTCTTCGTATAGCCCCCATATAACGGTACCTCCCAATATTCGGTATTGTGATGATTTTAGCGACATTATTCACCGGAATTGTTTCAAATTTGGTATTTGAAGTTCGTAATGGATACTACAGCCTATGACAGAATATTGTCTGTGCAGGTCCATGTTTTGGTATAGCCCCTCTATAAAAGTGTCTCCCTATATTCGGTATATTTATTTTGATGATTTTAGCTACTTCAACGAAACATATGAACTATATTAAGGAATTAGTTCCATTTGAGAGAATTAACAAGAAAGATTCCAAATATCAATTTTGCATAATTCCGTTGAAAATTGGTGTTTAAATCGACAAAATAACGGAAACCGGAAGGTAACATTACATAGGGAATGTACAACAATGTGGGCCTGTATAGGTAATTTTCAAGCATAGGAAGTGATACTCATTACGAACTTCAAATGTTATATGGGGGCTAAACGAATGTCTAGGCCTATTTCGATAATTTTCTATCGGGTTAAAACTTTAACAATTGTCAAAAAAAAAAATACAAATCATCTACAATCATGAAAATACCGAATATAAAAAGGAGGGTTATATGAAGGCGCGAATCTGCACTGTAAATTTTTGAATATTCAATTTGAATACATTCTGGTGGAGTGTGAAAATAAGCATCAATATACCGAATATCTGGAAGTACAGTTATATGGGATCTGTGTCAAAACCTTTCTACATACTGGGAACACATATTCCTAATTTACGGTTAATTCGTTTGGAAATTGTGACTAAAATATCCAAAAAAAAAACTTTAAATCTGTCTGTACAGTTATATGGGACCTATACCAAAACGTGGACTTATATAACATTTTCAATACCAAAAGTCCTTTTTGTGCTGATCAAGAATTTATAAACTCTGTGGGGACTAAAATGCATATTTTGAGGTGCTACAAACGGAATAACAAACTACTTATATCCTCCATACTATGGTGAAATCATGGCGCAATAAAAAGGTAAGGTAGAGCTACCAGCTGATTACAAATTTTTTCTAAGTGTGTCCGACTTCTGCCAATGTTGTGTATGTATGTATGTATTTATTGTTTTGAAAGTGGTAGAACTTTGAAAGTAAAGTCATGTAATCATATGTTTACAATTTTTTCAAATTTATACATTTGACAACATCTCATTGTCAAAATCTATATTCATAAATATTCGTACACACAAAATCAGAGATGTGAAATGTTTTTTTATGCATTAAATTTTGACAAGGTAAATCAAATATTAAAGAAATGAAAACATTTATTTAGAATTATTCTGACAGGAAGGGGAAATACGGCCACAGGGCTGTATTTCTTTAGTTTTACAAAGCTGTTCTACCTCCTTATTGTACAATGGAACTAGCCATTCTTCAAATAAAATTTGTTTTCATATCTAAAGGTGTAAGGCCGGAAATACATAAAGAGCATATTTGGCTGGCTTAAGTCATCGGCTGGCTTCTTCGGAAATGAACAAAGGAGCCTAGGGCCAAATCGAACTAAGTCAACCTAAAACTCCTTTGTTCATCTACGAAGAAGCCGGCCGATGACTTAAGGTGGGAATACATAAAGGGCTTATCTGGCTGGCTTAAGTCATCGGCTGGCTTCTTCGGAAATGAACAAAGGAGCCTAGGGCCAAAATCGAACTAAGTCAACCTAAAACTCCTTTGTTCATCTACGAAGAAGCCAGCCGATGACTTAAGCCAGTCAAATATGCTCTTTATGTATTTCCAGCCTTAAGCCAGCCAAATATGCTCTTTATGTATTTCCAGCTTAAGTACTTAAGAAGCTTATAGTACTTTTATATATATGAGGGTTAACCCACTGGATTTGGATTTAAATTGTCATATCCATTACTTTTACTTCAAATTAATCCTCTCAAAGAAAGTTAACCCTACAAAAAGTTCTAACGTAAACATGGCATTACAGAAAGTAGAACAATTTTTTCCTTTCGTGCCCTTATTCTGTGAAAACAAATACACATTTTGTGTATGTGTGTGTATTGTTATGAATAAAAAGTGCCATAATTTTAAATAATTTCAAATTCAGTTGCGAAATAAATGCATATTTTCGACGTTAATGGGCAACAAATTGTACAATTTGGGATAAAAATGTATTGTCCTTCCTTCTTAAATTCAATTTTGTGGAATAAACCCAATATTGCATTCATGTTCTGTGATTTCTCCTCAATATACGAATTTAAAAAAAAATATGTTGGATAAACAAAACCAATTGTTGAATATATAAAAGTCTATTTGACACTATAAGACACCGGTACTTAGTTGCGTTTTCGTAGTTTCTTGAAGTTAAGCAACCTTCTGACTGAGTTATGCGATAATCGATTTTCCCTTTATGGTATTGATATACTACTAGTTTTTACTTGTTGAAATTTAAAAGAAAAATGGGGTGTTAATGTTATTATTGTTGTTTTTTCTGTTAACAGACTTGCATTAAATGTAATCTATGTACAATTTAGTCCTATTCTGCCAAATAGATTGCGTAAAATAACAAAAACACATATTCTTATTGCATTTCCAACTCATTGGCAAACGGACTGTGACATGAGAACCTCCTCGTAATCTTTGAAGCCGTCTACCACCAAACACTAATTTTAACGGCGTTAATTTTTGCACAACTGAATTTCTATGACGCCGTCGTGTGCAAAAGATTCGCGACGCCGCTTTCTGCCATTTGCTTCATTCCTGTTTTTTTTCCGTAAGAGGAAGGATGCCTTCTGCTTCAAATAATACAACAAATACTAAGCTAGCGAAACAAACCTCCGTGAGTTCAATGAATTCTGGTGGCCCGAGTGGAACTAGTGGTAGTGGTAAGGGCAATAAAAAAATAACGGAAAATTCGGCCAAATCCACCAACAGTAACATCAGCAGCACCAACAATGAGACATCAAGCAACAAATCCACTAAAGAAAATACCAACAATGTGGTGGCCGCCTCTGCTGCTAATGTCGCTGGCCAAAATAGCAGCAACAGCAGCAGCGCCAACAACAATGGAAAAAATTGGGAAACCAATTCAGCGACTGGTAATTCCGTAACAGCAGGCCCTGTGGCCAACAAGGATGCCAGCAATGATGCCCTGAATCCCATGAAATTGACTTTTACCACAATTGAGCATAAAATACGCAATTTGGAAAAACGAAAGGTACGTATTCAACCGACAGAGTGATGAGTGCGTGTGTGTGAGTAAAGGCGAATGGCTGAAAAAAAGTGTACAAGAACAGAGAAAAACTACAATATTCAGAAGCCCAGAACAAACTAATTGATGAATATGTAAAAAAATCAAGGTGAACCACAAATTCGGAGTGAAAATGTAAGAAGTTTCGGTTGCAGAAGAGCTTAACGTGAAATTTTCATTTGCAAAGCATCCCCACCCTTGCCGTCGCCGCTGCCGCGTTTCAGTGTCTTACAAAGAAAGAAAAAGATACCACCTTCTCTCTTCTGTTGCCTGCGTTTGTTTTAGCGTCTGCGACCGGCAAATTATTCTTTTTTCTATTCCCATTCGATCTTTTAAACAAAATGAAAATGGGAAAAAACACAATTAGTGTTATCTGCAAACGCAAATTTGGGGACATCTTTTAAAAGGGGCCTAGCGAAAAATATCATGCGACCCAAGATTTAGGACAAAGGAAAGGATGGAACAAATCTGCTTGTTCTTTGTCCCATTTTTTCCACCATTTTCGTTTCTTGCATTTTCTGACTTTTTATACGTTTTTGCGGATTTTTTTCGCGACGCCATGTTTAGTATCAAAAGTGTGTGTGAAACGTTGCCAGATCTATGCAGAGCCAAAAGCAATAGAATAAAATCGAAAGTTTGTTTATATAAAAGTACATTTTTGGGGATACTATCAATGAACGTAGCATTGAAAATCATATAATTTTCTCTAAAAATGTCCAGCTCAAATATTCATATTTGAATATTCTTTTCAATTGCCATCGTTGTTTAGTTTTCTTTCTTTGTTCGTTGATGTGCATGTGTTCGTTTGTGTGTGCGAAGGTTTTGATTTGTTTTCTTGGTGAAATATGGCAATGTATGCTATGCTTGTTTGTTGGGGGGCATGTGTTTTTGCAGTTCTGTTTTTGTACAATTTTCTTCTTTCTCTGCATTCTGGTTGGTGGCTACTGTTTGCATTGTATGTTTATGCTTCCCCTCTAGAACAATGCATGAGGGTTTCTGGTGTTATTTGCAATTCTAAATTATCTTTCAGTCATCATACGAATTTATATTAGTAATTGAAATGTGGTTTGTTATCTTCCATGTCGCTTATTTAACTTTATTTGTCATCAGTTTTTATTATTATGATTCACTCTTTTTCTTTTGTTTATAAACAAAAGTGTGGGGGTTTACCTCATTTAAGCTGACCTGAATTGTCTGCCTTTTCGTTTGGTGCATCGTTGCATATTTTGGTAGGTTTTCAATGCAAAAAAAAAAAAAACAATTCAAAAAGATCAAACTTGTATTTCATTTTATGCCCGCAAGTAGGCCGGTGCCCTTGATTATTGAATTCCTTGTAGAATTGTAAACTACTGTTAATGCCCTTACCATGATTGTACCAGGAGATTTTATTTTATAATATTCGTATCTATTTTCTTATTATATGTAGTTCAGTTATTAAATTCAAAACCTGAATTTCCTTAGATCGTACTAACAACTTATTTCTGGTTCAAAAAATTATACATTGTTAGTTAATGCGGTGGCGATCACCAGTTCGGCCAAGCAGCCAATATTGTATAGCTTGCATATGTAAAGTAACGTTTTCTCTCGGACAATTTGTTCCTATTATAGGTACAAAGTGTCTTGGTTGTCTTAAGGAAGACTATATACTATTTGCTCTATCTGTTTATTAGAATCCTCGCAGAAGGGTATTGCTATCCGCTTCCACACGTTCATACAAACCTTCACTAATTACCACATGGACTGCGGAGATGAGAACACAGCTCAATGTTCTTGTTCATGTTCAAGTCTTCCGCGCAAGTCACATATCTGCGATAAAATGAAATGTAAGAACAAGGTCCTCAATCCGCTAGCCGGCAGCACTTGGGGTGCGGATAAGGAAACTTTGTGCGGATAAGGAAACTTTGTTGACCTCTTATAAAGCGATAGGTCGGCCTGTGGTTAGCTATGCGGCTCCAGTGTGGTATGCGAATACTAGTGCAACGCAGTGGAAAAGTATTCAGACCTGCCAGAATGCCAACCTGAGAACTGCAACAGCGTGCCTCCTCATGACTCCTGTGGACTATTTACATGAGGAGACAAAGGTTCTTCCCTTGTCAGCATAATCATATGCTTTTTTTGCAGTACCTGCTTGGGTGTTATTGTGGGGGTCATCCTAACCACCATATGGTGCACAAAACTCTAGTAGATCATAAAGCCTATCAAGCGGGTCTGAATAGCATTCATACTGATGCAGTCGCAGAGGTAGTTAATAATTACAGTGTGAATGCCAGCCTCGGAGTCCACCGCAATCCATTGCAACTGAAGAACGTCGGCTGCCTAGGCAAACCAGGGTAGTTTTGGCCCAACTACGTTCAGAATGGTGCAGCCGTCTCAATTCGTATTGGGTATTGACGAAGATGTGCGGAACCCCGTCCCATTGTGCGATATAGGCCCTCACAATACGCTGTATTTTTTTAATTGTCCAGCAAAGCTTACCCAACTTCGTCCAGAGGATCTCTGGCTACAGCCCATAAAGGTAGCAGAATTCCTAAACCTGGACATTGAGGAAGTACCGGATTAATCACTATATATAAACAACGGATCTTGTTAACACTGCTACAACAACAAACCTTCACAGACAAACTACGCATTGGGCACGAATTGACGAAGATGTGCGGAACGCGCCTGCCCAGCGCACGATACAGGCCCGCACAATACGCTGCATCTGTTTAATTGTCCAGCTAAGCCTACCCAACTCCGTCCAGTGGATCTCTGGCTACAGCCCATAAAGGTAGCAGAATTCCTAAACCTTGACATTGAGAAAGAACCGGATAAATCAGTATATAGACAACGGAGCATGTCAACACTGCTACAACAACAACAACAAACCTTCACAGACAAAAATCCAATGTTCAGACAGGAAAGTGAAACATACTACTCACTACTAGAGGGTGAAACTCTAGTAAGATACCTGAGATTGTAATTACAGTCATCGTCAAATTATATATCGTATCTAAATTGGAAATCGCCACCAGCCCAGAGGCATATTTATTAAATTTTAATGGACGTAAATATTGGGCAGAAGTTTGCTAGCAATCCGGAGTTAAAATTCGGCCATGAAATTAATTTCTTTTTTCATATTAAATCCAACCTATGCCTTAATTCTAATATCAAAAAAAAAATCTAATATATACTGTTTATTTTTCCTGAGAATCTCCATCTTACGCCAATTCTATTTGCATTCTCTTTCAGACGAAATTGGAAGGCTATCGTGCCCTTGATGCCATGGGTAAGGAGTTGAGTTCTGAACAACGTGCTGCTGTTAACAAATACGATGCAGTATTGGCTACTTTGGAATTTGCCAGAGATTTGGTAAAACAAATGCAACAATTCGCCAAGGATGCTGAAAAGGAGCAGAAGAAGCAGGCGCGTAAGGTATGTTTGAACAACAATTTGAATTGTTAACATAATTCTTTACATTAATCACTGATCATCTTAGGATTTGATTGCCAAAGCCCAAGCGGAAACGGTCAAAATACGGGAAGTTCTAATAATACAAAACATATTGTCTTGCTTCACGGACGATGCTGTACGCAATGATTTTCTGAATGGAGAAAATGGTGCCGCAAAGTTAGAGCAAAGCGAATTGGACATTTTGGAAAAATTGTAAGCTTGCCTGTTCTATTAAATTTCTATGCCAATTTCTATATTTAATTTGTTCTTTTTTTAGCTGTTTGGATGTTCAGACTAGACGCCCTGAAACATCTGAGGATGCGCCCTTTGCCACTTCGGCTCAAAAAGCAGCAGAAATTTTCTCAATGACCATTGATGCACGTCCCAAACAGTATGGCGACACAACCTATGAAAATGTTAAGAGGATTTTCCATCGTATACAGGAGTCAGATTATTTGGATAAAATCTACTTGACAGATGTGCCAGAAACTGAAATCAAGGAAGATGTCGTTGAAGTTGCTGGTGGAGATGGCATTAACACCGATGCCATTGCTATGGAAGATGGTGGCGGCGGCGGTGGAGTCGCTGTAGAGCATGTTGGAAATGGTCAGGATGAAATGGTTGCCGTAGAAGAGGCCATGGAAAACTTGAATGTGGAAAGTAATGTGACGACAAATGTCCTTACAGGAAACGAAACCAATGAAAATGCTTTGTTAGCTCAACAGCAACAGCAGCAGCAACAACAACAAGTGGCACAACATCATCAGCCACCAGCACATCAGCCAGGAATGCAGCAACAACATGCAGAACATTTAGAACTGCAACAACCGCATCAGCAGGTTCTGCCACATCCGGCAAATATTCCAGCACCTACTGGCCAGCCCTTGTTGCAGACACCTATGGCTCCGCCAGCTTCAGCAGTGCCCGCATTTCAGGGTACCACACCAGCACCCCACTCTGGTGCTACTACGCCCGTTCATGTGGCTATGTATGCTACATTACCAGGTCCTGGACCTCAGCAAATGCAACAAATACCACCTGGAGGTGCCATAATAGGTGGTAGTGGAGGTGCAGTTCCACCACAAAGTGCAGCAGGTCAGATTGTAACGGGCTTACCGCCACAACAGCAACAACAGCCAGTGGTTCCACAACCGGCCAATGTTGGTGGTCCTCCTCAAAATCAACAACGTCAACAGATTTTAAATAGCCCGGCAAATCCTCCGGCTGGTATGGCACCTTTGCAACAACCCCCACTGCCACCACCGGGTCTGTACAATCCTACACCTGTGCATGCTGTGGAGCAGGGATTCTTTAAGCATCCCCCACATCATCAACAACAGCAGCAACAGGCCCAAGCACAACAACAACATCAACAGTATTTACAACAAATGCGCCCCTTGGCTGAAGTCATCGGTGGTGGAAACTTCTATTTCCTGCAGGACAGCGAATTGGATTCACCCGAATTGAATGCACAAGGTCAGGCTGGACCACAGACTACTTTAATTTTTGAACAACAACAACAACAGCAGCAGCCACAGGTGCCACCTGCCCAACAGCCACAACAGCAGCAGCAGCCACAAATGATGCCGCAGCAAACTCCACACCAGCAACAGCAGCAGCAAGTTGCTTTACAAAATCTCCACCATCAACAGCAGCAGCAACAGAAACCCTCACCAAATATTTTGCCGGAACAACAACAACAACAAAATCCTCAACAGATATTGACAAATGGAGTGGGGCCAACACCTCCACCTCAACAGCAACAACAGCAGGTGACAGTTGGTAACATGCCTCCACAGCAGCAACAATCGCAGTTGCAACAACAACAAACACCTATTCAAACTCAAACATTCACAAATCAATCATTCCCGCAATTGGCTGGAGCAGCTCAACAAGCCCAGACAGCCACCGCTAGTATTTTGACCAGTAATACCCCAAGCCCGTTGTTCCACCAACAACAACAGCAGCAACAACAACAACAACAACAGCAGCAGCAGCAACAGGTGCAACAACAGCATCCACAATCACAAAAACTGAACAATCAACAGCAACAACAATTGTTTTCACCAGTTCAAAGTCAAAGCATTCAAAATTCCCAACAACACCAACCACCAGTACCCTCGCAAATGCTAATGACTGGGGCCATGGATGCCGTGCAACAGGCCAATCCAGGTTTGATGCTAATGAATCGATTAGGCCAGGCTCCACAAAATCAATTGATGCAACAACAACTTCAACAAAGTTTGCCCCAGCAACAACAACCGCAACAGCAGCCACCACAGTCACAGCATCAACAACAGGCGAATACAGGTGGTTTATTGCAACAACAACAACAGATTCCTCCTACTGCTCAGAACATAATGACTGGCGGTGGTAACATCCAAACCCCTCATCATCAAATGTCTAATCCCAACCAACAAACAGACTTGAATAATACACCCAAGAGTGGAGGATTTCCATTTGACAATCCCGTGGTTGCCGGTCTCAGTTATGAACAGCAGAGACAAAATCAACTCAATAATGCTGCCAATGTTCTCAAGAAGTCTTTGGGAGTGCGAGAAGATGAACCACCGCAGGCTAAGGCACCCACCTCTATTAACAAAAATGATTTGATCAATGAGTGGAGTGATGCTGGTCTAAAGACTGCGGGAGATTACAAAGCTTCTGGCATTGTGCCGTCGGAAGGTACAGCAAACAAATGGAACACCGAGGTCAATGCCAATTCACCAATTACGGTACAAAGCGCCAGCCAACAGCCTCGTAAAAATGAATGGACATCAACAACTACGTCTGCTGGTAGTGGAGGCGTTAGCTCCAACACTACAGCAGATAGTTACGGCAATGATAACCGCCAGGAAAACAGCAACCATTGGCATTCGCAAGATTCTCAAGGAGGTTATGGTCGTAACTCAGGCAGTCGCAATCCAAGTAGTGGTGGTGTTGGAGGCGGCGTAGGTCCAGGCCAAGCCAGCGGCGGTGGAGGTGGATATCAAAGACGTAACGATGATCGTAGAGATGACCGGAGGCCAGGAGGAGGCAATGCAGGCGGAGGTGGTGGCTATAGAGGTCGCTCTAATTTCGGTTCAGGTGGACCCCAACAGAATGGTAATGCCCGTGGCGGAGGCCAGTCTGGTGGCATCTATTTCCGGAATAATGAGAACAACAACTCTGGTGGTGGCTACTATCAGAACGGTGGCGGCGGTGGCAACGTCTATGCGAATAAAGACAGTGGATCCCGCTATGATTCTGGAGGTGCTGGAAATTATCGCGGAAGTCGAACGGCGGGCAACAACTCCGCAAATCCACGTAGTAATGGACCTCCACCACGACATATGGGCGGCGGACGCACTGGAGGAGGTCAACAAGGCAGCACATCTAATGCTAACTCGAATTCATACATGAACTCACGACAGTCCTCAAATCGTATGCCTTTGGGCTTAGAAAATAAGAACTAAAAAAAAAACAAATCACATTCAAAAGCCCAAATGGCTCCAGCTATTGAAGGATAAGAAGAAGACGCCTCTCCTCTCAGACATAACAACAACCACAACAAAAATAACAAAGAATACAAATGGAATATATGTAGCATTAAACCACAAGAATTAAGAAGAATTTTAACATGAAAATTCATACGTATTTAGAGCAACAAATATATAAGTAGTAGGTATAATCAATCAGCAACAAGATGATGATGAAGAAGAAGAAGCAACCAACGTACTCTCGGATATTGACCGGGAAAGCCTAGCCCCAGACCCTGTACCCTAGACCCAACCCCGAAATCATAACCCAACAGAATCAACAAGCATTTGACCATAAAAAGATAGAGGTCAACTCGAAAAAGCCTTGCAAAGGTTAGAGAGTTTAGACCTCAGATCTCCTCCCAAAGGAGATTATATTTAGAAATGAATGAAATATGAGCGGTAGCAACCGTCCGAACTACATAAAGCCTCTATCCAACATTTTTTACATTCACCACCACCATCAAAGAAGTATCCTCACCAAAAAACCATCTTCCCACTTCCCCCATACATCCATCACCTATGAACAATTATGAAGCAGAAGGCAGAAATCCCTCTTTATTTTTTTCATTATATAATATATTAAACAAAACAAAAAACATTTATGTATTTAATCTTAAACATATGAATATAATTAAACATAAAACGATTACAAAATAATACAACAACAAAAAATGATACTTATACTATTTACTCTCACACAACCACACACACTCAATCTCTTACGAAGAAATACATCAAGAACAAGAAGATGATGAAACAAAATGATCCCTAAAAAATATACCAAGAAATCTATAATTTCTATTATTACTACAGAAGAGAAACAGAAGAAGAAACAAACCCCATGAAGATATGATGATAATGAAACAGCAAACCCGTAAGGAAATTATTAATAATGAAACAAAACAAATAAACAAACAAGAAAAGAAATCAACAACAACAAGGAAATATACTTATTTATGTTCATTTTATTAAATATAATTTTTAATAAATTTAAAAGAAAAATCTACATAAAAAATCTGAAATTTATCCAAAAAAACACACACACTTTGTTGTCTTTGTTTTCTTATTTATGATCACAGTTTCTTTACTCGAATATATGTTCCTTCCTCACGTGTCTTTGTTTTTGGTGGGCGCTTTTTTATTTGGATCGTCACATAAAAACCACAGTCCCAATACTATGAGGGTTGTACCAAATGTTGAAAGCCATGTTATGGGTTCCTTGTATATGAGGGATGCCAAAATGAACTGAAAGAAAAGTAAAGGGAAAAAATGAGGATATACACTGGTGGCCAAAACTAAAGCAACTTAAATCGCAAAGACAATAAATGTCCTGTAACTTTTACAAAAATAAACAAATCGTAATTATTTTTCCAGTTTTAAATGAGGGGTTTAATTCACTTTTGAGAAACTAAAAATAAAAATATAAAAATAATTTTGAACGAAAAATAATATGTGGAAAACTAAAATGACCCAATTTTTGCTTGGTCAAAACTAAAGCAACTTTTGATTTTTTATTTTAAAATAATTAAATTTTGGCTAGTAGTCGATTATTTTATTATTTTTGATAGCAGCTGCACACCTACGAGGCATTGAATCTATAACACGCTCAATTTGATCCTTGGTTGTGCTTTCCCAGCCACCCCGAATTCTTTAGAAAATGTTGTGCTTATTTATTTCCGAATCTCTCTTGATCTTCCTATCTACGATACTCCAACGGTTTTCTATGGAGTTTAGGTCCGGTGATTGTGCCGGCCATAACAAACCATCAATTTTTGACTCCCGCAACCAATATTTAACAAGTTTTGATACAAGTTTGGGATCCTTGTCATGCTGAAACACCCAAATCAGCCGAATATTTTACTCAGCATAAGGGAACAACGTGATGTCCAACACATCTATGTAAACAAACCAATCCACAACTTCCTTTATTTTATGGATAGGCCCAAGTCCATAGAAAGAAAAACAGCGCCACGCCATTTTTGACCCTCACTCATGCTTCACTGTACATTTGCAACACTGCGGCTTGGGTCCTTCATTTTTTGGTCTTCTCACCGTAAAATCTTTCACGTCTGAGCCTTTAATATTAAACGTAGACTCATCCCAGAAATAATGTTTTTTTTTTCATTGAGCTTGATTCCACTTAATATTATAGTTTCCGAATGCCTTTTTGATTTTTTTCAGATATAAATGGTTTTTTGATGTCTTACGGGCATGCAGATCAGCTGCCACTACTCGTCTACGCACTGATCTCGAGCTTATATCCAATGATTGCTCTCTCACCAATCCAGTTGAACTCTTAAATAGTTGTTTTTTATTTCTCTCACAATTTGTGGATCAGTACGTTCTGAAGTTTTTCACGGCCTTCATCCGTTATGGACTGTTACTACTGATCCAATTTCAAAAAAACCGACTTATTATACAGAAATAATTATGAAATCACATAAATATTTATGAAATATTTCTCGGAAATAATTTTCTGTGATATGTTGTTTTGATAGTCACTGATAATTTGCTGTTTTATACAGGTACTGTATTTGCTTTTAGCCATTTTTAAAATTTTTTTGGGCAGTACTTAAAAAACGAAAAGAAAAACACATACTGTTGTAAAAAACTTCTCAAAAAGGATTTATGACAAGCGAAATTGTCGAAGGAAGCAAAAAGCGATAAATATCACCGTAAAAACAAATGAAATTGCAGCGGTTATATGAATGTACAACAGAGTTGTTTTTGTTTTGTCCAAGCCAAAATCGAGTTAATTGACTTTACCAAACATTATTTTTTTATATAAAAATGAATTTTGGTTTTATGTTTTAGGTTTTTAAAAAGTGAATAAAGTATCTAATTTAAAACAAGAAAAACTTTCTCATTTTCTTAATTGTTGAAAAAGTTACAGGACATTCATTCTCCTTGTAATTTCAGTTGCTTTAGTTTTGGCCACCAGTGTATATTGACGCTTATGGACCGAATTTTAAAATCAGTAATTTACTGCTTTCAAGTCATTGAGCTATGCAGTGTGATAAAAGGGAATCAAGGCAATAGATACAAAAGTGTTTTAAACACATGAACCCTTTTTTTGGGAACTTCCTGTTTTCCCTCAACAGAGCGTGTATACAGGGTGAGATGAAAAAACTGTAACCAACTTCAGATTGCTGTCATTTCTAAGCCACTCGTCCGACAGCTGTTAAAATTATCCCAGTGACAGCTCATTATATGGTTTGTACAGAGCATTTTGGTGAAAAATAGTTGTTCCCGATGGAATTCAAGAGTGATTTCTTTATATTTGGCTGGAAAACCATAAGTGGCTATCGTTAGAGCACTCCAGCATTTTAATGTGAATAAATCTTATGTGTCTCGTACCATCGTTCGTTACCGTGATACCGGTAGCGTAGCCCGACTTCAAGGAAGTGGACGGAAGAAACCAGCAACATCAGCAGAAATGGTACGAAAAGTAAAGAAGCGACTTGATCGGAGCCCGCGTCGCCGTGGCCGAAAAATGGCTCGTGAGCTAAACATATCGCAATATTCCATTCGGCAAATATTAAAAAATGAGCTCAGGGTATACCATTGAAATTCCAAAAAGTGCAAGAACATAACCGCAACAGAAACAAAATAGACTCAAAAGAGATAAAGAGTTATTTCGCTTGGCCGAAAGTGGTGAACTGCCGAATTTGGTTTTCTCCGATGAGAAAACATTCGTTGTCCAGCAGTTTGCAAACAAACAAAATGATCGTTTTTACTTGCGTTTGTTCACCAGAACTCAAACGCCGGCCATGGTGATGGTGTGGGCCGCCATAACAGCCGATGGTCGCTTTCCGCTCGTATTAATCGACCGTGGCATCAGAAAAATTACGAATATTATCGCGAAATATTCTGAAGGGTGTAATAAAAAATTAACGCAAAAATTTTGGCCGCAGACCTTGGACATTTCAACAGAACTCAGCACCATCGCAATCAGTACGCGCCACCCAAGAATGGTTATGAAGTTCCTCGCTTCATTTTCAGCGCACAATGGCCACCAAAATCTCCGGATACCAATCCGTTGGGCTATTGTGTCTGGAGTATTTTTGAAAGTAAGTTTGGCACTTAAAAATACCAAAGTGTCGATCACCTCAAGCAAGTGCTTTGCCGGGATTGGGACAAAATACCGAAAATACCTTTACCCGACTGGTTAATATTTGAATTAAATATTTTGGTGTATATTCCATTAGACACAAATTTGTCAAATATAGTGCGCTATAGGATGTTCGTATAGTGAATCAAATAGGTAAACCATCTAGGTTTCGGAAGTTGGACCGTAATGCACATGTACAGACTTCAAGAATAATAACAACAATCGTGAACGTTATTGGTTTTATTCTGGAGTGTCGTCAAACCGTCTCCAATGTGTTCCGCAACAAAAAAATTAGGTTCATCAATCTGAGATAAGTAGGCTTAAGCAGCCTATCACTGAAAGTTTAAATATTTCGAAGACTTTTTCAAAGTAACTAGTTTTTGTTAGTGTAAAATGAGATTTTTAACCATTAAGGGTACTATATGATACCCTACACCATTATATTATTTAGTTGAGTTCTCGTAACAAAAGTATTTGAAGTAGATCATGCAACCTATCAACCTTTGTCTTTAGAGCAGTTATAATTTGGTTTCAGAAAGAACTAATATATTCGAGGCATATCCAATTCTGAATTAATTTTCACTAAAATTGACGGAGACATTAAAAAATATATATATTTCCATTTGGGCTGATATTTGCACAATAAATCTGAAATCAGATTAAGGATATATATGGGAGCTTTATACAAATCTTAGCCGATCTCGATAAAAGTTGGCAAAAGTATTTGCGTGCTCTATAAGATATCTGGTACCAAATATCATTGTTGTCGAGTACCTACTACGAATGTGAGGGACATAAAGACCAAATCGGATGAAACATATATATGACAGCTATAGCTATAACTGAACCGAACTTGATGTACTTGCTTCTAGACTGAATTCGGTCGGATGTGCCAAAAGTCAGGTCATTTGGACTGATATTTGCAATTTGGTGCACAATTAACCCGAAATCGATTGAAGATATATAGGGTAGCAATATCCAAATCCGAACCGATCTTGATTAAATTTGGCAGATGTATTTCTGGTACCAAATATAATTCTTGTGGGGTGCATATTACGAATGTGAGGGACTTAACGACCAAATCGGATGATATATACTTATGGCAGCTGTAGCCATATCTGAATCGATTTTCGCCAAATTTGATGTACTTGCTTCTAGATTAAATTTGGTCGGATGTGTCAAAATTAAGGTCATTTGGATTGATATTGGCCAAAGTAACTATGGGTCTATCTCGCTACCTTCTCCACTCTGTGGTGTAGGGTATAAAAACGTTTCATACCAATTCGTGTATGCATTTATCTAATGATATACGCATAAATCGAACTTTCCAAAATTGATCTTCGTCTGGATACCAATTTTCCAATGTCATATTTATCAAATGACCTTCGTCTTAACAAGAGAAACACTTAAAATAGAAACGGGCTTGAGCCTATAAAAATGTTACTTTTCCTTTAGTCTTTGCATAATTCTTTCAATATTTCAGTTGCGTGGAATCATATGGTCCTTCTTTCTTAGGTTGTTTTTATGGCAATTTTCATTCAATTCCTTACCGATACAATATAATTAGAGGCAGACGTTAACACTGTGGCCGTTAATGTTTGTTCCGTTAACTGTAGAGCCTTTAGAAAGTAACGCCAGTTAAGGACATTGCAAATAATCATTAGAGCAATTGGAAAGTATTTTATAATTATAAATACTGCAATGAAAAATAATATAAATTAATATCGTTCCTTAATATCCCTAATAACTCACCTTTATGAGATTTGGAAACCTCCAAATCTATACTTTCCAAAAAACTGGGCATTTTACCAAAGAAACTTCCGCCAGCAGCAAAACATCCGGCCAAAAAGCAATAACGATACCTTTGCAAATAAAACATAGTTCAATACTGTTTGAATTGTTTAGCCAGTGGCCAGTTAAAGGCTGGTCGGGACGAAATAGGGATAGGTAAGTCGACTTCCGATTAATAGAATAATCGACTTTGAGTACTCAAAGTCAAACTCGAACTCGGCTATGGACTTGGGTGAAAACCGAGTACTCGTCTATTCATAGTCGATTGTTTGACTTATGCTATGTTCTCAGTGCCCGCTCATACGGCACGATTCGTAATTCGTAGTAATATAATTCCTTTTTTCAATTTTTTTTTATTGATTTTTATAGAAATTTGTACGAAACTACATGAAATTAGCATTAATAATAATGGAAGAAATTATTGTTTTTGTTTACATCTGAGTATGAGGCTACTTAAACGTGTACGTAAGAAGGTTGGTAAAATTGCAGTATGGCAATTCTAGTTGTGTTCCAGTACTTTTTTAGTAGTAAAACTAGCAGAAGAGAGAACAGTTCGAAATGTCATTCTCATTTAGGTTTGCTCAAAAAATAAGGGAACGGAAAATTAGCAGAAATGCGATAAAATGTCAAAATTCCAAAAGTAAACAGCCTACATCGGACTGGTGAAACCTTACTGAAAAGAGCGCCAACAATTAAAAAATGAATATTGAAGACGATAAGTTAAAATTAATAATTTATAATAATAATTAATAATCTGATTCCTCATTCAGCCAGTCCTCTTCACTGCTGGAATCATCCAAAAGTTAATACATCAGTTGCTCCATATTTTCTCTTTTTGTTTTTTGCACGACAAATATTAGTTGTGTTCCAGTACTTTTTTAGTAGTAAAACTAGCAGAAGAGAGAACAGTACGAAATGCCATTCTCATTTAGGTGTGCTCAAAAAATAAGGGAACGGAAAATTAGCAGAAATGTGCTAAAATGTCAACATTCAAAATTCCAAAAGAAAACAGTCTAAATCGGACTAGTGAAACCTTACTGAAATGGACGCCAAAATTTAAAAATGAGTATTGAAAATAAATTAAAATTAATAATTATTTTTGAATGGTGTTTATTTAGAAAGTTTTGTTTTCAGAATGCGTTGAAGAGTATTTAGAGGTGGAGTTTTCTCAAATCCCAACCCGGAAAAGCTCACATGGTTGGAGGCGCCGGTTAAATTAATGTTAAGTCTGCAAGAAGACTTAATGCTACAAGTTAGGAAGACAGCCAACCTAAAAAATAAAAAGAAAATGTTCGCAGTAATAAGCAAACGACTTTGATTCTAAGCTTAATTTCCAATTTACCTTTTACTAATTTTGCACTGTTTTCCAATACGTTTTCTTCGTCTGATTCCTCATTCAGCCAATCCTCTTTACTGCTGGAATCATCCAAAAGTGAATACATCAGTTGCTCCATATTTTCTCTTTTTGTTTTTTGCACGACAAATATTAGTTATTCTTTATTTTTTAAGTTAATCTTTTTTCTTTACATTTGTTGTTACGCGCGAACATTGAAATGTATTAATACATTTTTCAACCTTGTTAGCCCTGCCAATTAAATATCAAATTTACAATTTGCACATTTCTGCTCGGCCAAATTCATGTAGCTAAAACAAGCAGAAATGTGCACCACTCAGCGCCATTTTATTCTCGAGAGAGCTGCAAGTTTTGCTAGTTTTTGGAGTACGGGAACGCGTTGTAGTAGAATTAGCACTAATTAGTACTAACTTTTAGGTTCTGGAACACAACTATTAGTTTTTCCTTTAGTTTTCAAGTTGGTCATTTTCTTTATTGAAATGTATCAATACATTTTTCAACCTTGTTAGCCCTGCCAATTAAATGTCAAATTTACAATATGCACATTTCTGCTCGGCCAAATTCATGTAGCTAAAACAAGCAGAAATGTGCACCACTCAGCGCCATTTTTTTCTCGAGAGAGCTGCAAGTTTTGCTAGTTTTTGGAGTACGGGAACGCGTTGTAGCAGAATTAGTGCTAATTAGTACTAATTTGCAGGTTCTGGAACACAACTTCTGTGTGAGATATGTAAATAATAGCATGTTCTGTTGACATTCGAACGAGAGCACATGTTATATGTATTAGAAGGAACAAAAAAAAAACTAAAGGTGAGAGTACATAAAACAACTTTTTTGACTGGTTTAAGATATCGGTTGGCTTATTCGTAAAAGAACAAGGGCGAACAAGAGGTAGTAAAGTATTTTTTTATTTAAACATATCATATTCGTTTCATTGTGTTTTTAAGACAATATATGTAATATTAAATAAAAAATAGATATATAATAATATCAATAAGACAATAGCCTATGAGCACCAGTTTGAAGCTTAAATCAAGCAGAACATAAATATAAATTTTTTAAATATGGGGCAGTTAAATGTATATGTTGAAGATTCTCCGCTTCCACCAAGTTGCAGAGGGGATAGGGTGTTTTTAAGAAGTGTAGGGAATTAAAAAAAAAGAAAAACACAAAAATTCAAAAAATGTTTTTTGAGGAATCGAAAATTTACAATTATTCTTACTTTATACCCATTGAGCCAACAATGAGCTTCGTCACTGAACACATAAAGGGCGCGATGAATTTTCTTAACAGACCACACATTTTAAATACGAAATTCAAATTGATTGCTCGTTTGTAAGGCGATTCATGTTTAAATTATAGATGTGTTGCAAAAAATAGCATTAGATATTACCCATTATATTGGATATGTATCTAAATCTGAACCAATTTTAGCCAAATATGTTTCTACGTTTAGTTCTGATCATGGTAGAAGAATATAGGAAAGCGCATCGACACAGCTGCTGGGACAATGAACTGTCAAACCAATTTTAGAATTGAAAATGTTGAATGAAATATAATTTAAATTTATAAAAATTGTTGAAAAACGCTTTTTATAATAACATTTGAATGACGCCGTATAAGAAAACTTATAGAAATCTATTTATTTTTGAAGAAACATTTAAAAATTTTTGACATATCAATGTTCCCAACTGTATTTCCTGTATTTTTTCTACCATGGTTCTGATATTACACATTTGGTGCACAGTGATCTTGGAATCGGGCGAAGATATATATTGGATGCAGGTCAAAAAAAACTTTAGATTTATTTTAGTTGTGTTCCAGAACCTACAAATTAGTACTAATTGGTGCAAATTCTGCTAAAATACGTTCCCGTAATTCAAAAACTAGCAAAACATTCAGCTTTCTCGAGTGGTGTACATTTCTGGTTGTTTTAGCTACATGAATTTGGCCGAGCAGAAATGTGCATATTGTAAATTTGACATTTAATTGGCAGGGCTAACAAGGTTGAAAAATGTATTGATACATTTCAATGTTCGCGCGTCACAACAAAAATAAGGAAAAATATCAACTTAAAAACTGAAGGAAAAACTAATATTTGTCGTACAAAAAACAAAAAGAGAAAATATGGAGCAACTGAGGTATTCACTTTTGAATGATTCAAGCAGTGAAGAGGACTGGCTGAATGAGGAATCAGACGAAGAAAACGTATTTGAAAACAGTGCAGAATTTCTTTATATTTTTTAGGTTGGCTGTCTTCCCAACTTGTGGCATTAAGTCTTCGAGCAGACTTAAAATTAATTTAACCGGCGCCTCCAACCATGTCAGCTTCTCCGGGGTTTGAATTTGAAAAAAACTCCACCTCTAAATACTCTTCAACGCATTCTGAAAACAAAGCTTTCTAAATAAACAGCATTCAAAAATAGTTATTAATTTTAACTTATTTTCAATATTCATTTTTTTTTTAAATTTGGCGTCCATTTCAGTAAGGTTTCGCCAGTCCGATTTAGACTGTTTTCTTTTGGAATGTTGAATGTTGACATTTTATCGCATTTCTGCTAATTTTCCGTTTCCTTATTTTTTGAGCACACGTAAATGAGAATGGCATTTCGTACTGTTCTCTCTTCTGCTAGTTTTACTACTAAAAATGTACTGGAACACAACTTTTGTTTCCTTTTGCGTGTTACACAGTGTGATGTAGGGTTTACAAGTGAGGCAAAGTGTAGCGTGTGCTTTTAACCTTTAGAGGTCCATATTTTTTTTCCTGGGTTAGGTCAAGACAAGTAGACGACAGTGGTTGGTATCTTCTGCGAACTTCAAAAATCAAATTTGAAACACTTCCGTTGAAAAATGTGGCGAAAATAATAAAAATACTGAATAAAGAGTGTATAATTTTGGCATAAATCAATAGGGTTTCTTTATCTTGAATTCAAGTTTGTGGAAAACCCCCAATATTGCATTCATGTTTTTTATTCACGGTTTTTTTCCATGGCCTAAATCATCGGCTGGCTTCTTCATAATAAAGGAGCTTTAGGTTGACTTAGTTCAATTACGGCGCATAATGCATACTTGTTAACCCTACGCTCCTTTGTTCTATTATGAAGAAGTCAGTTCATGGTAGAAGAATACAGGTAGTCGCATCAACACAGCTGCTGGGACAATGAACTGTCAAATCAATTTTGTAATTGACACTTTTGAGTGAAAAATTATTCAAATTTGTAAAAAAAAAATAAAAAATCCATATAATAACAACCTCCGATTGGCGTCGTGTGGGAAAACACATACAAATCTACTTATTTTTGAAAAAAAAAAAAAAAAAAACATTTACAATTTTTGACATATGAATGTTCCCAACCGTTGATGCATCTACCTGTATTCTTCTAACATGAGTCAGTCGATGGCTTAAGATAATCAAAAAAGCGTTTTATGTATTCACGCGTTATATTGTGAAACATTTTAAAATAAACAAATAAGTCTCCAATATAGAGTTGTATTTTTTCTAGTTTCTTTCAAGTTGAGGAACTTCCTTTTTGAGCTATGGGTAGAACCTATTACGAACTTAAAATGCCGAATATTTTGTTTTCCTTTAATATAAGTTTTAATTCATCACCGTCTCTCTACCCAGAAATAAAACACAGAGAAATAAATTTTGTAAAATGTTTTCATTTCTTTTTTATTCATCCATTTCTTCTTCAAATATAAGAAGTCGCCCTTCTTGCGTTTAAATACTTTTTTAACAATATGTTGTTGCTTGTTTTATTTGTTATCATTGCCATATAAATATTTTGTTTGTTGTTATAGTAAATGTGATAAATTAAAAGAATTTAATTCCATTTGATTTGTGTGAATGTATCATTAAATCGACTTTTGATGCTTAATTCTATTTCTTTATTTAACATTTAAATGTTCAATGAGAAAACATAGTTTTCTTTAATACTTAAATTAGTTTTTATTTTAGTTTTTTTTTACAAATGCTAAAACAGAATACAATACAGTTTTGGGAGGGAAGAAAGTAAAAATGCAGTACAATAAATTAAGTAAATGCTTATTCAAATTCTATTCAATCCTTCGTAGCAAATGATTTATTTTTGGTTGAAATTCCTTTTATATTGAATTTTCTCTATACAAATGTGTTCAATTGATTTTGGATAAAATAACAAATTATTTTTCTTAGAATAATAAAGGCCTCATAAGTTAAGTAAATTATAAATTTAAAGCTACATACATTCATTCAAACACATAATACTTAAAATAAAATGTAACAATTGTAAACATACGGTTGAATCACACCTGTAAAGGCTAAAGGTGAGAGTACATAAAACGTTTTTTTGACTGGCTTAAATCATCGGCTGGCTTCTTCGGAAATTAACAAAGGAACATAGGTCCAAAATAGAACTAAGTCGACTTAAAACTCCTTTATTCCCCTTACGAAGAAGCCAGCCGTTGACTTAAGCCAGTCAAAAATGTCTTTTATGTATTCTCACCTTAAGGTATTTAATTATTTATGATCAATTGTTTTTAAAAACCACGATTTATACAGTATGTCAAATATTACTTAACACACTCTAAAAAATTCCTTTTTAAATTCGTTTCTTAAGATTTTATAAATTACGGCATCAATTTGTCTGATTTTTTACATGATTTTAATTGGGGATATTGTTAGCTTATTTATAATGCGGAAATAATTTCAAAAATTTGCGTAAAATATATTAAAAATATACCAAATAGGCTACAAATGGTAAAAAATGTAAAGGGATGCATACAAAATATGAAGGTCTAGAATAACTTTAAATTACAGGGTGAGATGAAAAAACTTTCTATTTCTAAGCCACTTGTCCGACAGCTGTTAAAATTATTCCAGTGACAGCTCATTATAATATTTACAAGCGTACAAAAGCATTTTGGTGAGTATTTTCCAGAAAAAAAGTTCTTCGTGATGGAATTCAAGCGTGATAGTGCAATTTCTTTATATTTGGCTGGAAAACCACTATCTCTTTTGTGTCTCGTACCATTGCTCGTTACCGTGATACTGGTAACGTGGCCCGACAGCAACATCAGCGGAAATGGTTCGAAAAGTAAAGAAGCGATTTGATCGAATCGCAATATTTCATTCGGCAAATATTGAAAAATTAGCTCGGGGCAAAGCCATGAAATTCCAAAAAGTGCAAGAACTTACACCGCAACAGAAAGAAAATAGACTCAAAAGAACTAAAGAGTTGCTTCGCTTGGACGAAAGTGTTGAACTGCCGAATTTGGTTTTCTCCGATGAGAAAACATTCGTTGTCCAGCAGTTTGTAAACATACAAAATGATCGTGCATACTTGCCAAAGAGGTCAGCTAAAAAGGTGCACCTTCGGTTGGCCACCAGATCTCAAGTGCCGGCTATAGTGATGATGTGGGCCGCCATAACAGCCGGTGGCCGCTCTCCGCTCATATTTATCAACCGTGGCATCAGAATAAATGCAGGATATTATCGCGAAAATATTCTGAAGGGTGTGTTAAAGCCTTGGCACGCAAACATTTTGGCCGCAGGCTTTGGACATTCCAACGGGACTCAGTACCATCGCACTCAGCACGCGCCACCCAAGAATGGTTACAAAATGATTTGGACTATTGTGTGTGGAATATTTTGGACATAGTTCGTGCCAAAGGTGACCAATTCGAACAAATCTAAACTTATTCTAAAATTTGATGTTATTTCCGACATTTTTTGGTTTCATTCAATAAAATTTAAAAAATTTAAAAATTATGGCGTTTGACTTTGTAGCAGTTTTTTTTATCTCACCCGGTATACGAAGTGTACGAGTTTAGCTTTAACAAAAAATGCTAAGTTTTTGTGCTTTTTAAATTACATAGTGTACTATGTAAAAAAAAACATTTTTATACCCTCTAACATAGTATGGAGGGTATATTAAGTTTGTCATTCCGTTTGTAACACCTCGAAGTACACATTTTAGACCCCACAGCATAAAATTTTATGATCAGCATAAAATTCTATGTCGATTTAGCGATGTCCGTCCGTCTATCCGTCTGTGGAAATCACTCTAGCTTCCGGTATAGCCCCATATAACTGTACCTCCCGATATTCGATATTTTGATGATTTTAAAGACATTTTTCACAGGAATAGTTTCAAATTTGGTATTTCAAGCTCGTAATGGATACTACAGCCTAACACAGAAAATTGTCTATGCAGGTCCACGTCTTCGTATAGCCCCCATATAATTGTACCTTCCGATATTCGGCATTTTGATGATTTTGGCGAATTTATTAACCGGAATTGTTTAAAATATGGTATTTGAAGTTCGCAATGGATACTACAGCCTAAGACAGAAAATTGTCTATGCAGGTCCACGTCTTCGTATAGCCCCCATATAATTGTACCTTCCGATATTCGGCATTTTGATGATTTTGGCGAATTTATTAACCGGAATTGTTTAAAATTTGATATTTGAAGTTCGTAATGGATACTACAGCCTACGATAGAAAATTTTCTGTACAGGTCCACGTCTTCGTATAGCCCCCATATAACGGTACCTCCCGATATTCGGTATTTTGATTTTATCGACATTATAACCGATTTTTTTAAGTTTCGCATTTGAATATTGTAATGGCTTATAACAAATGTTACCGCAGGTTCATGTTGTCGTATAGACCCTAATATAATAGCTACATTCGGTATTTTTAAGATTTTAACAGAAGTTTTAACGGTTTTTATTATTTTTGAGAATTGCCAAATTCGTTTCAAATGGTGGAGGGTATTCAAAGTTCGGCCCGGCCGAACTTACAGTTTTTTTACTTGTTAGAACAGTGTTGGCATGTTTGTTCGGGATACCATAGTAGTTTGTTGTTGCAAAATGGTCAGGCTTAATCCCTTTATTGTTGCCAGGGTTAATCCGGGTGGAGGTTTGGAATGTAGACATACTTTTAAGAAGCGTTGGATAGCATTTGTATGTAGATTGTAGAAGAGATGATATATTTTTTGTGGAAATAGTATATATGGGAGCTATAGCTATGAAGAGTATATATGGGAGCTATAGCTATATCTGAACCGATCTTCACCAAATACCAGTTTCTAGACTCAATTCGGTCGTAAGTGCCAAATTTCATCCCATTTGGGCAAATATTTGACGTTTGGTGCACAATAAAAGGTAAATCGGATGAAGTTATATATGGGAGCTATATCCAAATCTGAACCGATCTCGATAAAATTTAGCAAAGGTATTTCTGAGCTGTATTTGATATATTTCCCAAAATATTGTTGTTACAGAGTGCATATTACGGCTGCGGAGGACTAAAATAACAAATCGGATGAACAATATATATGGGAGCTATAGCTATATCTGAACCGCTTTCGATAAAATTTGGCATACTTATTTGCAGGCCTAATCTGGTTGTATGTGCAAAATTCCATACCATTTGGCCTGATATTTCACGTTTGGTGCACAATAAAAAGCAAATCGGACGAAGATATATATGGGAGCTATATATAAATTTTGACCGATTATCCAATTTCAATAGGGTTTATCCTTGGACTAAACAAATGATTTGTGCAAAATTTCATCTGGATAGGACAATAATTGCGAACTGTATTTTGTTTACAAAAATTCATGGACAGACGGACGGAGAGACGGACGGACGGACATGCATAAATCGACTCAGAATGTGATTCTATGCAGATCATCAAAAGGAACTATGGGTCTATTTCGTTTCCTTTTGCCTGTTACAAACAAATGCACAAAGACATAATACTCTGACCACCTTGTGGTGTAGGGTATAAAGAATGCGCAAAATAGCCAAAATAAAAGTGTTTGGTGACTTTCACATAAGCTAGATTCCGCACTGGTTAAACAAATCCGGAATACGTTTATATACAAATCGATCATAATAAATTTGAAAAAAGGATAATCCGGATAAAATATTGCATTTAAAGGCGCTATAAAAAGTTAATCACAAGGTTGAGTCCTACGATTAACACGTTTCTTTGTTACTTTATATTTGAACGCATCTTCAAAAGCTAATGGATATGTTAAAACGATTTTAAACATTTTCGTAAGTTAATTTTTTTAACCGCTTTTTGCGTTGTTTCGATTTTAGAGATTGGAAATTTCTTCATTTCAATAATATCCGAATGATTTTCAGTTTTGGTTTAGCCTTTCTATAGTCCTAACGGCTTGATTTTTTTTATACCGCAATAAATTTGGTAGTAGGTTTTCTTAAGATTTGTGTTAACTTATTTTCACTTTATTTAAATTTACCCATAAAAGTGAAGAATTCACCTAAAAATTGAGTGAAACAGATTAAAACTAACAACAGGCTTCATAAGCGTTAACGCTTCACACACAACTATGCCTTAATTTTTCGGCAGACAAGTCCATAAACCTTTTGGATCACATTTCAATGAAGGCATAACAACGATTAACCTCTCTAACAACCCAAAATTTATTACTCAGTTCCAGAACAAATTGTTTGGATTACCTTTTATTAATTGTGAGGCAATTAACATGAGTTGCTATTTTCACCGCTTTCTTCCAGCATGATGAGGTCAAATTAATTAGCAAGGGACTTGGTATTTGTTTTTGTTCTTTGCACATTTCTTTATTTATTTTCGTTTTCTTTTTCAATTCGCTAATATAAAAGACACTTGTTGTTGTTGGTTTTGTTTATCGAAAATGCTTGTGTTGTTGTTGTGTTCACAATAATACAATATTTATAAACAATTTTAATACAATTTCATATATAAAAATATGACCAAAAAATAGAATAACAAACATTGAAAAAAAAAAAAAAAGATACAAAATTACAATTACAATATTAAAGCCTACTTTTAGGTAAATATGCCTAATTATTTTTTTCTGTTTTGCATTAAATGTAAATAGTACGTTTTTTATGTATGTATATTAATTGCTTGGCTTACAATACTATATACGTATGTATATTATAACATAATTTATATAAATACAAAAAAAAAAAAATAGATTTATTTATTTATTGATAATAATTTAATATATGTATATAATAATTAGTTATTATATTGTTATTTCATTAACTAAAACTTAAACAAAAAAAACACGAAAGAACCCACAAAACATACGTACATACATACATACAACTGAAGTGATAAATGATCAAATATATTGCTGCACTTTGTTCTGTAAACAAATCGAGTAATTTCAAATTAAATAAGTTCAATACTAACGAAGCAATTGTAGGTCCATGGGATGACCAAATATTAAAATATAGCAAATGATGAATATTTCCTTTGGGAAATAAGGAAGGGGAATTAAGAACAGATTTGCAAAAAAAAAAAGAAATCACAGTTATTATTATTTTTAATGAAAGAGGCCCTAATTAAAATTTACAAAAAAAAAAAAAAAAACAAAATGGATTCACAGCAAACTTTTGGTTCTAAAAATACGGGAACATACTTAAAAATTTGTTTTGAAACCATTTTGGACGTCCTAACTGGCAATAAAACGACATTTCTATGTAAAATTTACAAAAAATCTCACAAAAATAATCATTTTGGAGGGGACATGTGTCAACACACAGGACACAAATAGTTTTTGATTGAAATGTTCGAATAAAACTGATGAACGAATTTCTGTTGGCCAAGTTCTCAATTTAATATGTTTGCAAGCAAACTATTTTACAAACCAAAGTGAGGAATGTATTTGTGATTGAAAGAGAAGTATAGAGTTAAAAGAGAGAGATAGAATGCAAATTTCATCCTTGTCCTTTTGCATGGAAGTTATCTACACGTTGAAAATACCCAGCACCACGTTGTCAAAAGGCATCAAACGAACCCAAGGATTTAAGCCAAAATATTGTGAATTCAGTTCAAAACAAAAAAAAGTGTTTTGTTGAAAAATAAGAAGCAAAAAGACATTAAGTTCGGTCAGGCCGAACTTCTAATACCCTCCAATATTGGATAAAAAAAGAAAAATTTTTTTGCCAAAGTATCTGGATTCAAACGTGTTTCACTTTAAACTACAAACTCTAGTAAGGTCGGTAGGTGAATGGAGACATATTGCAAGTCTTAAATACCAAATTTTACATAATTTCATGGGTAAATGTGACTAAGATGACTTGGACCAATATGGAACCCAGTACGAACTACAAATAACAATTTTTTGGACAAATCCGTAGAAAAATGTGAATAAAACCATACAAATACCGAATTTTGGGAGGTACCGTTGTACGGGGGCTATACGAAAGCGTGTACTTATATTTACAATGTTCCTCCACCGGATCTAGAACCCATAACGAAATTTTTAGACAAATCAGTTAAAAAATGTTGCAAACATCATCAAAATACCGATTATCGGGAGGTACACTTATATGGGAGATATACGAGAACGTGCATCTATATATACAATGTTCCGCCACCGGAGCTAGAACTCATAACGAATTTTTTAGGCAAATCAGTTAAAAAATGTTGCAAACATCAACAAAATACCGATTATCGGGAGGTACCCTTCTATGGGAGATATACGAAAACGTGCATCTATATATACAATATTCCGCCACCGGAGCTAGAACTCATAACGAACTACAAATAAAAATTTTTAGACAAATTGGTGGAAATATGTGGCTAAAAGTATCAAAATACCCAATATCGGGAGGTAACGTTACATGGGGGGCTCTTTCCTAAAACGTAAAGCGATATATCTCATACCAACCATCCTAGACACAATGTAGACTTGTGAAAACGAAACGATTTTCTGATATGAGCCAAAATAAGCATTCACTGGTTGTTGCTCGGCCTTACGTCATTCCAGTTGGGAGAATAATTCCACAGATGTTTTTCACCAACCAATGGTGATATATCCGATCCACATTGATAGCCTTGGGATAATTGGAAAATACCTCGACCAAGGACTGTCATAGGTTGGATTATGCCGCTGATGAGCAGCAGCAAAAATTCCAGTTGGGAGAATAATTCCACAGATGTTTTTCACCAACCAGTGGTGATATATCCGATCCACATTGATCGGCGTTTTTCGGAATTGGAAATGCTCATATTTTGTCCACTTGAAGTAATTGCATATTCTACGAACTCATGGTTTAATATCGTAAATATTGAACTAATACACAAGGTAAATTAATTCATTTAAGGCCCGATTACACATGGTGTTTAAGTCATACGTAAAGTGATTTTTTCACTATTATCTGCAGCAGTTTTACAGCATACTTTTAGGCGCTAACTGGAAATTTAAACGAAACACTGTAAGGATTAATTAATATAAGTATTCTAAAAGCATAGAATAGATAAAATACAAGTATATTCACAGTAATGCATAGTATAAAGTTTATATAGTGCAGCGTTACTTTTAAATTAAAAAAATATATTTGGAGCATCTCGAAGCATGATACAAAAATATAAAATATGAAAAAAATCACTTTAGATTTTAATATTATGTGCGATCGGGCCTTTAGTTTGATTGACATTCACAACGATACTGTGATATTAATCATATGTTCAGTTGCAGAACCTGCAAGAGTGAAAAAAATACCTACATAACCAATTTCCCTTTTGATGCAAGAGGAATGTAGAAAGTGTCTTGAAAAAAAGCGATCAAATGCAAAATAATAATTTTTAAGGCCTAAAAGCATGCTACATAATTTCTCAATGAAATAAATCTTTTTTAAGAATGATTATTACGCATTTTTATACCCTCCACCATTCTATGGAGGGTATATTAACTTTGTAATTTCGAAACTTTGTAATTTCGAATTTCCTCGAAACAATCAAAAAATTCTAAGACGTCTGTCTGTCTGTTGTAATCACGATTTGTGTAACCTTTCGAACGAATTGAGATAGAAGGCTAAAATTTTGCACACATATGTGTTTTGCCAGTAGGCAGGTTAAGTTCGTAAATGGGCCACGTTTTCATGTAGCTCCCACATAACGGTACCTCCCGATATTCGATATTTTGATGATTTTAACGCATCATTCACCCGAATTGTTCCAAATTTCGTATTCGAAGATTTAAATGGGTACTACAGCCTATGCCTAAAAAATTCATATGCAGGTACAGGTACTTCTTATAACATCTATATAACGGTACCTCCCGATATTCGATATTTTGATAATTTTAGCGACATTATTCGCCGGAATTTTTTTTGAAGATCTAAATGGGTACTACGACCTATGACAAAAAATTACTTATGCAGTTCTACGACTTCTTATAGCCCCCATATAAGGGTACCTCCCGATATTCGGTAGTTTGATGATTTAAGCGATATCATTCTCCGGAATTGTTTAAAATTTCGTATTTGAAGATCTAAATGGGTATTATAGCCCCCGCATAAAGCTCATAATTTAAACTGCATTTTTTCGGATTTTTTTTTTGAAAATTTTCCTTCCAAATGGTGGAGGGAGGTTTTCTATTTCTTAGCCTATACTGCAGGGTGAGATGAAAAAACTGCAACCAACTTCAGACTGCTGTAGGGGTAAAGCCATTGAAATTCCAGAAAGTGCAAGAGCTAACACCGCAACAGAAAGAAAATAGACTCAAAAGAGCTAAAGAGTTGCTTCGTTTGGCCGAAAGTGGTGAACTAACGAGTTTGGTTTTCCTCGATGAGAAAACATTCGTTATCCAGCAGTTTGTAAACAAACAAAATGATCGCGTTTACTTGCCAAAGAAGTCGGCTGAAAATGTGCACGTTCGGTTGACCACCAGAACTCAAGTGTCGGCCATGGTGATGGTGTGGGCCGCCAGCTCGTATTAATCGACCGTGGGATATGGAAAATGTGCACCTTCGGTTGGCCACCAGAACTCAAGCGCCGGCCATGGCGATGGTGTGGGCCGCCATAACAGCCGATGGTCGCTCCCAGCTCGTATTAATCGACCGTGGGATCAGAATAAATGCCGAATATTATAGCGAAAATATTCTGGATCGTGTATTAAACCCTTGGGCACGCAAACCTTGGACATTCCAACCGGATTCAGCACCCCAGAATGGTTTCAAAATGAGTTTCCTCGCTTCATTTCCAGCGCATAATGGCCACCAAAATCTCCGGATACCAATCCGTTAGATTATTGTTTCTGGAGTATTTTGGAAAGCAAGGTTTGGCACTAAAAAATACCAAATCAAACGCTTAGCGGGAATGGGCCAAAATACCGCAAAGCAACATTCGGGCGGCGTGTGACGGTTTCATTGGCCGTTTGAAGGCCATATTTCGTGCCAAAGGTGACCAAATCGAACAAATCTAAACTTATTCTAAAACTTGATGATATTTCCGACATTTTTTTGCTTTCATTCAATAAAATTAAAAAAAAAATGTAAAAATAATGGCGTTTGACTTTGTTGCAGTTTCTTTATCTTACCCTGTTTTTTTCAAAATTTTGAATGCAGCACTAATCTAACTAGATGTATTGCTAGGCTTTTGGGAAATCACAGAAATTATTTAATCAGATTTTCTTTGAAATTACTCAATCTATTTGAACATCTGTCTGCATAAAGATACCTAACCTACTCACCATTTTGGTTTACAATTCGTTTCGATGTTAGGACACATATGTATATAAATTCAATCTTTGAAGCAATAATGTCCCTTTCGTTATCAATGGTATCCCTTTCATTATTTAGAATACAAAAAAAAGGATATACAAAGGCTTCTCTCTAAACGTTCTCCGCAATAGATATAAAACGAAATTGACCAGTTTTTCTTATTGTTTTGTTTATGGGACAATATGTTAAGTATATTTAACGATATTTTGTTGTTGTTGCTATATTTGCTACTTAATCTCTTAAATCTAAATAATTTATCCACATTAATTACATTGGTGTGTTTGTTGTTATTTATATATGTATTTATATATGTTAATATGTGATGATATTTGTTTTTGTTTTCTTCTTCGTGTTGTTGTTGTTGTCGATGGAAGCTTTCTAATATGTATGTATGTATGTACGTATATATGTATGCATGCTTGCGCTAGCCATATGTTGTGTATGTCGTCGTGTGTTTTATTGGTAAGAATTGTGGCTAAGTTTCTAGTGTTATTAGGCGTTGAAAAGGAAAGAGTGACGATGCCGACGAGAAAACTTGTTATTGTGGGGTCGCTCGCACATAAAACCTTAGAGAAACAACTAGCTAAGCATACTTCTAGGTGCTTAGCTGTTTTCTTTGTTTTATGTTATTGAAATTCAAGGACTTTGACATTGCATATACATTGCCTAGATGGTTGAATGAGTGAGTGACTGGCTTGCTTGCTGGCTGGCTGCTTGGTTGGTTGGTTGGCTGGCTTGATGAATTCCAACGTCTACTTTATAGGAAAGTAGAGGTAACCTGGTGTTGATGCCGCTGTTTGCTCGCCCACTGTTCTTGTTAAGAACAACAACAGCAGCAGCATTATGTTTTTTAACCATCCATCCATCCATCTAACCGTTTTTTTCCTTTTCAGCAAACACTTTTTAAAGAGGGGACGAACCCTTGTGTTGTGTTGCTACCAAATCTCAGCTCATACGAAGGGTGCCGCAAAACATTTCCTTCCCTCCTGGGGTTCTTTTTAGTCCTTATTTATTTTTTAATTAGTTATGTTAAAAACACCAAGAGCCAACCTAAACAAATAAACGAGAAACAGAGAAAGACAAAAACAAAAAAATGAAATATTAATTAGAGTTGCTGTTGTAATTTTATTTAATAGAATATGTCAAATAAAAAAGTTTGCAAATATTTTTCTGTTTTTCAAATAAGTTTCATTAATTTTGTTAACCAAATCAAACAACATAGATTTTTTATGATGATTGGATGACGGTGGTTGGTTGGATGAATGAAAAGTTGTATTACTTTTGATGTATGCTCATTTCTGAAATTAATGTTCAACAGACTTTTCTGGATGTATTCCTAAAAGTATGCAATGTTTTTTCATTTAATTAATAGAATATGTCATAAATTTATGGTGATAATTTGGTAGAACACAACTAACACGAATCTTGTGGCAGCAGTATTTAATTTGATTTTTCCTAAGGCTTGCCCAAAAGTATGCACCAAGTTTGATTTAATTAATAGAATATATCAAAGTTTTAAAATATTAAATTTATGGTGATAGTATATTAACCCCAAATATCAAGTATTTTGTGGTAGACGCATTTAATTTGATTTTTCCTAAAGTTTGCCCAAAAGTACGCAATAATTTTCAATTAATTAATAGAATATATCAAAGTTTTAAAAAATTAAATTTATGGTGATAATTTGGTAGGCCTCAAAAAACAAGCATTTTATGGTGGACGTGTTTAATTTGATACAATTTGAAGGTAGATTTAATATTAAACAGATTTTTCCTAAGGTTTACCTAAAGTATGCAATAATTTTCATTTAATTAATAGAATATATAAAAAAATTAATATATAAAATTTATAGTGATGGTATTTTAACCTCAAATATCAAATATGCTGTGGTAGACGTATGTAATTTAATACACTTTGAAGGTAGATTTAATATTAAACAGATTTTTTTTAAGTTGTAACTAAAAGTATGCAATAGTTTTCATTTAATTAATAGAATATATCAAAGTTTAAAATTATTAAAATTATGAGTATAGTATTTTAACCACAAGCAACAAGTATTTTGTGCTAGATGTATTTAATTTGATAGGATTTGAAGTTAGAGATAATATTGAACCAATTTTGCTTCTTAAAAGTATGCAATACATTTGTGTTTATTTAACTATTTAAAACGCAACATGAAAAATCGCATAAATATTAAAGACAATGCTGATAACATACGACGATACATCTATGGATTGATGGAACACGGCAAGAGATTTTAGGCAATACGCAATCAAAGTCCAGGAAATTTATTGTTATACCCTCCATATAGAAAAGGATTGAATACCCTATATTAGCTTTGTTTTAATAATTTTAAGGATTTCTTGTCCCAGAATCATGTAGTTTTTACATAAATTTTTTTTCAAGAGCATTTCGGCTGTAAATCGTAATCGTGTTTTTAAGAATATCATTTACTAGGTCTCTCTGCAAAAAATAATGGATTATTTTAATAGGTTCATGGATTTCATTGATATATTTCAATTTCATTGCAAAAATACGGGTTTTTGGTAAAAAGTCATTACTTTTGTATACCCTCAGCCATATGGCTAGAGAAGGTATATATCTTTTGATGCGGCCAAAACATGCCTTTGAAATAACGGTTTTATATTCTAGGTCTCTGTTGTCCAAATCCGTTTCAGGACATTTGGAGTCGGTCTAGCGATGTCCGTCCATCCGTCCGTCTGTCTGGCTGGCTAGCTGGCAGGTGTGCACGATAACTCTCGAAGGAGTATCCGCTTTGATCCAAACTGGTTACATTATAATATTATTGTCAAACTTAGATCAAGTTCGGAGACTGACAATATCGGTCCATTTCACAAATTGCAACACTTTCACAGAAAATAATTTACTACACAGAAAGAGAAAGGATAATCCGAATTTGTTCCAACTTTGCATAACCTAATATTTGCATCAGTGCTAGGTCAGGTGTGAAAATGAACAATATCGGTACACTTCTAATAGTACCCCACCCCCACATAGGGTCGAAATTTTGATTATTACAACTCTTATAATATGTGATGTGTGAGTCCGATGGTCTTCATCATCACAATATTTTATCTTCCCAAGGTCTGGTGTGAAGATGGAATATATCAATTCATCAATTCCATCTGGTATCACACCCACAAAGGCTCGAAATTTTGAATATTCATGAAGCTCATAAAACACGAAATTAATATCCGATTTCATTCAGACCTGGCACATCTGAATAGTTCTATCAACACAAGATATGTTATAAAAACGGTAGAGATCGGACCATTCCTTCTGGTACCTCCCCCACAAAGGGTCAAAGTTTTGAATAACCAAAACAATTATAAAATCCGCAATAAGCATTCGGTACTCTTCATAGTTCACACATCTCATTATTTTTACTAACTCAAGATTTGCTCTGAAGGTGGGATATATCGGTCCACTCGGTCTATATCCTCCCCCACAAAGGGTCAAAATTTTGAATATCCATGAAGATCATAAAACGCGAATGGTGAATCTCAATATTTCTATCAATACAAAATCTGTTATAAAGGTAGTAGAGATCGGTAACTCCCCCACTAAGGGTCAACATTTCGAATAGCCAAAACGATTATTTAGTCCGAAATAAGCTTCCGGTTCTCTTCATATTTCACACTTCCCATTATTTCTACTAACACAAGATCTGCTGTGAAAATGGGATATATCGGTCCACTCCTTTTGATACCCCTCTAGCCCAAAAAGGGGTCAAAATTTTGAGGCGAAATAATAAAAGGCGAAATTAACATCCGATTTCATTCAGACTTGGTGCATCTCAATATTTCTATCAACACAAAATCTGTTATAAAGAGATCGGACCATTCTTTCTGGTACCACCTCCACATGGGGTTCAATATTTTGAAAAACAAAACTCTCAAAGCAATGGAAATAATCATCCAACTCTCCTTAAATTTCACACATGCACACATTTTTGCTAACACAAATCTATTGTGAAGATGATATACATCTGCGAACGCCTTCTGGTACCTCCACCACAAAGGGTCTCATATATATATATATATATATATATATATATATATATATATATATATATATATATATATATATATATAATTGAAAATTGTCCGAGGGTATACGGTGGTCGGCTACACCGAATGATACTTTTTAACTTTTTTATACTTTTTTATACCACCATACGTAGTATGGATATTCTTAAATTCTTGATCAGCGTAAAATTCTAAGACGTCTGTCCGTCTGTATACTATAACGCTACAGTCTAAACGAATTAAGATAGGAACCTAAAATTTTGCACAGATCTCTCTTTTGTCTGCAGGCAGGTCAAGTTCGAAGATGGGCTATATCGGTCCACGATATCGTATAGCCCCGATATAACGTTACCCCCAATATTCGGTATTTTCATGATTTTACCCACATTTGTCAACGGAATCGTCTGAAAATCCACACAAGGAGTTTCTTGTGGGTACTTTATAACTCGGAGGAGAATTATCTATATAGGTCCACGATATCGTATATACCCCATATAACGGTACTCTCCGATATTCGGTATATTGATAATTTCAGCCACATTTTTCAATGGAATTATCTGAAAATCCACACAAAGAGTTCCTTGTGAGTACTTTACCCCCAGACATAGATTTGTCTATATAGGTCCCCCATATATCGGAACTTTTCGATATTAGATATTTTAAAGATTTTAACAGAATTTTCAATGGATTTTATTTTTTGAAAATTTTCTAATTCGTTCCAAATGGTGGAGGGTATTCAAAGTTCGGCTCGGCCGACAGCTTTTTGCTTTTTTAGTTGTTATTTTTAAATATAAAAAAGCTTTAATATTTTTGAATTTCAAGAAATAAACTTAAATCTGATAACAATTAATGTTGAAATACATAGAGGCCTTATTTATTGTCTCAAGTAATCGGTTGTCTTATCCGTTAAAGAACAAAGAAGTCTTGGGTGAACTACGTCAAACTTTGGTATATTACTTCTTTTCGAAAGAGCCAATCGATGGATCAAGCCAGTAAAAACTTGTTCTATGTGTTCCCACATTTAAAATAGTCTTTGCCAATAAATTTTTATTAAAATTATTATTTTTTTATTACTTTCTGGCAGATTTTTTTTTAATACTCGTTTTACTATTTTGGTCCTCAACCTTACTGATACTGCTTTTTTAATTTCATGCGAGCCAAAAAGTATGCTTTGATATACCTATTCTACTATTCTAATTATCTCCATCAGAAGTGAAAATATCCATTATAATGATTATAATCATCCTTTCATTCCCTAATTTTTTTTATTTAGAGCTTTCATTTATTCTTCTCTTTCTTCAAGACAAATTAAATTTAATTTTCCATGTGCCTTAACTGAAATAAATATTTGATACTGAAGTGACATATATTCCACGTTCTGCATCATTAAAACATAATTGAGAAAAATAATTTTAAAAGAGCTAATGTTTGCACACATTCGGCGCAATATTGGCAATGCTATTTGTGGTAAAATCATATTTTGGGTAGACTGTCTGCTCTCTCATTGTCCCATCCGTAACACTCCCCATCATTGACAACAATTCGGCGTAGTGGAAAATGAAAAATTTTAATGATTTTAACCACAATGACACGCACATCTTTTGATATTTGAAGGCATATTTAACGCTGGTTTTGAGAAAATTTCGAATGATATTCCCACAGAAATGGTGTTGCAAATTCAATACGGTACATAAATATTTAATATTCTTCCAAATTTTGTAGATAAATATTTTTTGTATTTCTAATGAGATATGGTGACGCTGTTTTTCACGTTTTCGCTTTAACGCCCATGCTGAGGGTTTTTTTTGTATTATTTCATTCTATTTAACCAAAATATATGTTAAATTGTTTGCTCTGTTTTTTCCCATTAATGGCTGCACAATGGGCGAAATACAAGTTGTGTTCCAGTACTTTTTTAGTAGTAAAACTAGCAGAAGAGAGAACAGTTCGAAATGTCATTCTCAATTAGGTGTGCTCAAAAAATAAGGGAACGGAAAATTA